AAGCTTGCGCCTTGCTGAATTGTGGCTTACTTAGTTAACAGTTTTTTGTGTAAGTTTTATCAAGGACTACTGTAAATTGTGCTTGTCCAGACTTTGTTACTGTTCGGTTAGCATCAGCTAGTGACGATCTTTTCAATTATCTGAGTAAGTAGATCTTGATTTTATTCAACGTTTGCGAAACGACCACTGACATTGCCTGTTACCTCGCAATTTGATAATAAAATCCAATATAACAGAGAAAAAACACCATGATTCTACTTGAAATCACATCAAGTGTCTCCAGATTTGCCCACTGCAGTTATTAAATTAATGGAACCAAACAAAAAATCATCGTAAATAAATTATTCGATGAAAAAACTTGAAATCCGATTTCCATTTGTATTAATTTATCTTTACTGTTCTGTAATTCTGTAAGTTTTGAACAGAATATTATCTTATAAACTATACACCCACATAAGACATATATACATATAAGATAATATCCATTCCTCAGTGTAAGCTCAGTTTTAAATATTTTATGGTTAAGGTTTAAAACAACCCAAAAACTTTTATTTATTTTAAACATTATTTGTATTAATATTTTACTTCTGGATCTACTAATTTATGTTTGCTGTAATAACACATAAGCCTGAATGGCTATTTTTCAGTCATTTTGCATCAATGACCTTCAGCTTGAAAGGGCTGGTACGCCAGAAAACTAAAAATAACGTGAAATCTAAATGACCTCCCCTAAAGTCGAAAAAGCTCTCATTAAGCTTAGAATAAGATATACACTAATGACTTTTATGCCCAAGTCTTATTTTATGCCAAGCGTGTAAAATAAATATTGCTAGATGTGTCACAACAATGGAAGGGTTTCACCCTCTCCCTGGCTCCTTATAGAAAGCGAATAGTCATGCCGTCCGATATCGTTCTTGAGCACTACAGCTTCTCGTATCTTATTTCGAACATGTAATAAACATTCTTGAAGCATTTATTCTACTGAATACAAGGTATTAAAGGGTTAAAGTCATTACTGGCATGGTGGATTGACTAAATAAAATTTAGTTTAGTGCCAGCAGAACTAGGTTTCTATCCTGACTTTCCCTAGATATTAACATTTTTGTGATTTTAGTCTAAAATCAGATTTTTTTTACATGAAATCGTAATTTCTCAACTTTAGCGTTATTAAAATACAAATCTGACCTTTATTTCGCTAGCTACATTTAATTTTCTGCAAGATAAAATTTCCGTTGAAAAATTTGCGCTTCCGAATAAACAATAGCCGCTTAAAGAATAACGAATGGCAAAACCCATGGTTTTTTGGAAATAATTGTGGCTCGTGCAATGACTTTTCCATCAGAGTTTTCGGGGATTTCACCAAAGTTGTCTTATTTTATAAGTATTACAAGGACATACTCACTTTTACATTTTTTAGCACTTTTTTTCTTAACGAAATCTCACCTTGCAAGGAAAACGTATATCGAACCCAAGGAGAGCAGCAACCCAAGAACATCGTCGGATTTTTAATAAAACAATCAATTTTACAAACAACTGTTTGGTATAGCCATGGGTAGCAACCTAGGCCCGATACTGGCAGATATAATCAAGACACATCTACTAAATACAGACATACCACAACTTCCTTTCACATTACCCTTCCTCACTAACTACATGGATGATATGTTGACAGCAGTTCCCACAGATCAAATTCAAACCACATTAGATACATTTAATAGCTTTCACCCACGCCCACAATTTACACATGAAATCGAAAACAACAAAACAATACCATTTTTAGATACACTCATAATAAAACAACCAAATGGCACATTAATCACAGATTGGTATCCAAAACCAAGAAACACAGGTCGCTACCTCAACTTTACATCTCACCATCCTCTTCATACAATAATAAACACGGCCAAAGGGCTACTTCACAGAATTATTACTCTAAGCCATGAATCATTTCACCACAAGAACATAAAGATATACAAACAGATCCTCCATAACAATCACTACCCTAAACACATAATCAACAGAATAATCAACAACTACAATTCAACACTACACCATCCACTAGTAATAATAATACTACATCAATCTATCAAATACAAATAGCTTTCAAAAATTTTAAAACAATTCACATTTTTTTCCAAAATTAAAGATCCCACACCAATAACAAATAAGTCTGACGTAATGTACAAAATCAATTGTATAAATTGTCCGAACTTACATCGGAATTACATCCCAATATCTGGATAAGAGAGTAAAGCAACATATCTATAATTGCAAAAACCTCAAGCAAAATCCTACAGCACTCGCTACCCACCATTTTGAACACAAACACAATTTCGACTTCAACAATCCAAAAATATTACACACAGAACAAAACAAACATAAACGTAACTTTTTAGAAATGGTTTACATCAGCAAAGATAAACACAGCATCAATTACAGAAAAGACACATATAAACTCAGTCGGAGTTCGCCAATATCATTAATCACATTCAATATCGATAACATTCATATATCATCACACCACACAAAACATATAATATTACATATAAAAAATTCCACACATCAAACGATTTTTTCATAGTCTAATTTTTCAACAATTTAGCTTTCCTTTTCCTAATTATTCCGTCTATATAATCCTGAAAGGATAATCTGGCCGAACCAGGAACCAACGTTTTTTCCCATCGTCGGCTCTTTTCGCCTCAACGAAGCCGACTCCTTATGCAGAGTAATGCCTAATTATGGCACCAAAAAGGACAGCATGGGAAAACATCTTCTCTAAGGCAAGATCAGGCTCGAAACAACTAAAACTTATAGGTTAACTTTGAAAGGAAGTAATATAGGATATTGGGCATGCCCACCCTTGGACGCCATGACGTGTTGTTCCAAAGAGACTGCAAGGCTGGGAATAAAAGGCAAAAAATAGAGCCATCTAGCAAGCTGTACTCAAAACATTGATCTCACCTTAAGAAAGAAACCCACAGAAAAAATGCAGCAAGGAGTAGAAAAGCTTCTAAGTGGTACCGGACACCTCTCTGACTATCTCGAAGCCTGTGAGAAGTTCGTCGACCTTCCACTTACCATCCTATGATAATGCTCCTAGAAGCCATTGTGTTGTCACGAAACAACTAAAACGTAGAAATGAACTTTGTTAATTCTTGAAGAATGTACTTGGTATGTGAAAGGGCAGCATGGGAGAAAGGACTACAAGTCAATTCAGACTTCTACCGTCTGACAGTGCACCGGATTCGGTATTTCTCTTGTAAAATTTGGGAATTGAGCTTTGTTTTAAAGAGACTGAATGGTTGTGAGTAGGAGGGTAAAAAGATAGCCATTTAGTCTGATAGCCAGCTATGCTCAAAGCACATGGTACATACATTATACCCATTCGACCTTTACTAAGGTTTGTAATGCCCTTTACTTACTGGGTGAAAACCATGGTACATACTTAAGAATGGACGAAAGAGTAAATTAAACTGATTATTTGTCCTATGGATGCTGATATGATCTAGTTAGCATGGGAGGTCTGGCACTAAATGTCTACTGGCATTAGACAAGAGGGTCAGCGATTGTTTTGTGGGACAAAAACTGTAACTAGGAGTAGAAAAACTTCTGAATAGTACACGACGGAAGTTGTATCACGGGTGCTGTGTAAACTACGGTGACCTCTTCCTCCGATATGGCACTAAACCTAACACCTATAGATCTTCACCTATCAGTTGCATCTGGCTTTTTACAAGCCAAGGTTAATTAATGATATTCGGGGCGTTAGCTTGGCGGGGATAACAACTGCAGCCAGGAGTAGAAAACCTTTTTGGTACACGAAGGAAGGCTGGTCTAAGTATCATAAAAGCTGTGAGGACTTCGCTGACCTCTCACCGAAGATGTCATTAAACTTACCTTAACAGCTTTTAGCACACCTTCACAAAGGAAGAGCAAGATCAGGCCCGAAATAACTAAAACTTAGAGATGAACTTAGAAAGGATATATTATTGGATATTGGGCATGCCCGTGGTCGCGATGACGACATTCGCAGAGGAATGAGAAGAGGAAAGGAGATGTCGTTGGAAAACTTGGCAATTGGGCTTTGTTCCAAACATACTGAAAGAATGGAGTAGAAGGCAAAAAATAGAACCATCTACTCTGATAGACAAGCTGTGTTCAAAGCACTGGCCTCACCTGAAGTAAGAACACAGAATTCCACAGATGAAAAACTGCAGCTAGGAGCAGAAAAGAGTTTTGGTACACAAAGGAAGGTCTGTCTTTAGTAACACAAGAGCTGTGAGAACAACGCCGATCTCCGTCCAGATGTCACTAAACAACCTACTCTATATCACCACTGGAGAAGCAAGATCAAGCTCGAAACAACTTAAATTATCTTTGAAAGGGTGTTTTGTATATTGGGCATGCTTATGAACGACATGACATTCAAGTTCGAATAGAAATGTCAATTTTCTTGGAAACTTTGGTAATTGCTTTGCTCCAACGAGACCGAAAGGGCGGGAGTGAAAGGCAAAAAGATATCAGAAGGCTCTGATAGCCAAACTCTTAAGTACTGAAAAATCTTTCACGGTTGGAATAAATTAAGTTAAAAATGATTTAGAACTCTTTTTTTGTACTGCAAGTCAAGTACATTTTTCAGAAAATAAAATGAGTTTAACTTAATCTTGAAACAGGATCAATATTATTTAAAAGATTAATCAGTGTGTTATCTTATTGTTAGAAGAGGGTTAGCCGATTAATACGATAATCAAATATGTACATAAAATCGCGTTTTATGGAAACGGTTAGGGTTTTTTTATTGGGTGTAAACTGAGTTCATTTTTAATTTTTATTTTTAAATCCTCGTCTAATAAAAAATCATCCGCGTATGTTTTAACCTCTCTATTTGTCATTTTGATTTTCAATGTAAATTTAATCATCATAAAAGTTTGAAAACAGGAAATAGAAGGAGGACCAACCACCTCTTTGCACCTTTCAAAGTGGGGGCCTCAGCTATTAATATTATCATTCAGTCGAGAGCCGCAGCTCGAGAACGTTCGTCGTCCGTTTTTTCTTTTTCCTCACTTATATCACGTCTTGCTCCGGTTAGGATGAGCTATTTCTTTTCCTTTCTGTAAAGGTGAGTGTTGGATTTGATCAAGGTTTAAATTGTCAAAAAAAAAAAAAAAAAATTGAAAAGAAAATTACAAAATAACTGTCATTTATATTGCCCTGGGTCCAGAATATTGTCAAAACATTCAAAAATTTAAGTTGTATGAATTGTGTACTTAATACTCGTCTAACTTGATTTTTTCGATAAATTTTCCAAGGTGCACATTAATACTTGGGTTTTGTATAATTGGACATGAAAGGAGAGCAGTTCAATGTGGCATCCTTGTTAAATATTAATCTTGAGGAATTTATTCTTTTCAAATATTATTAACTCTACAATGACGTCGTATTTAACACAATTTTTGAGTTGGTTAAACAAAAATCTGGCAAATTATGATTTGTGCAGATTCGAAGCAACAAGAAAAACTAAAAACAAAACAGAACGAGAATTAATTCGGTGTGAATACATTTTATGGTTTATTATTATTATTTTTTTTTGATCGTGCGATACATTAGGTTTTCTAGTATGTAATAAAAAGTAGTTTTGAGCAAATTAATACAAATTTTATTTCTAAAGTGTACCTTCTAAAGTATCATTTTATATGAATAGAATATCATTTATAATTCTGCTGTTAGTTCGTTAATTACAATAGAATAATAAAATGGTATTTGCTATTTAGATTATTTTAATTACAAAAAAAAAGCCAGAAATATATTTTCATATTTTTGCATAGAGCAGTCATTAAATTAGAAACTTTATCGTAAAATAGCAAGTAAATTTAAGCAATTAAATTTATTTTCAAAGAAAGTTATCAGTTTTGCACAAATTCCCGTTGTTTAAAAGCTATTAATAGTTTTAATCTAGAATCGTAGACCATGACAATTGGTTAATCATTTTTGGGTCTAATCAGTCGGAACAGCATAGATTAAATAGCTTGCATTTCTAGTTCTTTTTTTTCAAATCTGAGATTATTCTTTTTAAAAAAATTGTGTTTCATCACCTAATCAAACAAAACTAATCTCAACCGATAGTAGAGGAAAGCCTGCATTAACACTGCGTGTGCGATTTAATTTGCCGCATTGTTTGCATGTTTTTTTTTAAATTTTGATTAAATTTTTTTCATACCTAAAAAGAAAATATATTTTCAAAGGAAAGTTCAACGATCTTTCATCGAAAGAGGTAGGATTCTACTTAATAACCAGTAGTGCATGTCGAATGTAGATTGTGGAAAAGGAGTTCAGTTCAGCCTGAAAGAATTTCGGTTTTCAAGATCGTTTTAAAGATTTTATTTGAACCTGATTTTTTTTTTAAGTTTTAAAACGACTACAACATTGTTTTTAATATTGAACATTGAGCAAGACGGAGACGCAATATATTGCTCCGACTTATATAAAATTCACAATTCGCCTTCGAACACAATAGGGCAATATATATTCTCAAGGGTTATTCCAATTCTTCTCATTGTAAGTATTGACAATCCGTTTGGTACTTCGGAATGACAAGTGGCAAAGGGTTTCGGTAAAATCAATTGTCTGTTGTTATCTCGCTGTGAAATTGATTTGAGCCTTTGATCCCCTTTTATCTCGTCTTCGGCCTAATTTTGATATTCGTACGATTTGGACCTTGAGGCTTTCAGTCTAAGATGAACGAGAATGATTTTGACATTTCAAAACTCTTGGTACTTGTTAAATAGGACATTTATAAAATTTGGGCACACAAAATTTCCAAATAAATTACTTGAATTTTTTTCTTCTTCGGATCTGTAGTCGTCAGGATAACATTTTGCGCCCATTTTTGGTTGTTGGTATTAGTAACAACTAATTTTTCCCTTAATCCCCATAGAAAACAAATAGACAAGAAAAACTTATACAAAGATGTTTTTATATACCGTTTTCCTATCTTAAATTAATTGTTTTGTCTTTAGTTTTTTATATAGTTTTTTCTTACCTAAACTAAATCTTTTGTTCTTCTCAAAAATGGAAAAACCTTCTGAATGTAGTTTTTGGTTACACTTTAGCTGCAATTTGAAAATTGTTCCTTGGGAGTCGAGTCATTTTTACCAAAGCATTTGTCGGGTATCTGGATTGCTGAATATTCAAAACAAATTTTTGTCTTTAGATATTTCATTCACCTATTTTCCTATCTTAACCAAAATTTTTATCTTTCTCAATTATGCGAAAACCAAAAATTGCTTACAAATAAACAGAACAACGTTCAATTATTTTTACCAAATGTTGTTACTTGCTTCTTAAAATTTAAGCTTATATAATTGTTGTAGTGCAATTTAAAAATTCAGACAAACGTTCAATTATTTTTACCAAATGTTGTTACTTGTTTCTTAAAATTTAAGCTTATATAATTGTTGTAGTGCAATTTAAAAATTAAGTCCGTTTTACGTTAGGTCCCTTCCAAAGTATGTGTCTTGGATCTCTGAAGTTAAAAAGATTATTTTTGTTTCTAGCGATTTTATTTTTCTATCTTAATCAAACCCTTCAATTTCAAAAAATTGAAAACATCTAGGATTTTTTATAAATAAATGTACCACATTTTTTCTGCAATTGGAAAAATATGTTCTTTGAAGGGTATAAAGTATTTCTCGGGTTATAGCTGGATATTCAAAATAGATTTTTCAAAAATAAAAAACACTGAAAAATGCTCAAATTCTCTTGAAAACGCTTTCGTTTTTGCCTTAATTTGAAAAATTTATGATCTTTGTAGTTCACTTCTCTACGAAGTATGTGTCAAAACAGATTTTTTTTGCAAATTTGTGCTAATGTATTGCAGTTTCCTATTTTAACGAAATACTTTGTCTTTCTCAAAAAATGGGAAAAATCTAAAATTCGTTATAAATAAATATGTAGTTATTTTTATGCTTAAAATCGTAGTGTCTTACAAATGTTATAATTGAAATTTGAAAGTTATGTTCCTTGTCGTTGAGGTTATTTCTGACGAACTGTGTATGTTGAATATCTCGATCAAACCAGATATTTTGTTTTTTGGCATTTTATTTTCTAATTTTAGAAAACTAAAACAAATAAATGATCTCAAAAAATTTACTTTTACTTACTACCTTCTTATTTGTTTTCTTGGTGTTGTATTGAATTCTTTTTACGAATGAAAATGTCTCGAGTCAATGCGGAACCAGATGCCGTTTCCCAATTTATTTTCAATACCAATCATAATTATCAGCTTCACAAATTGTTTGCAATCGGTGTAATCTCTTTTCTTTGAAAATCCTGATCGTGAACCTTGTAAATCCGAATGCGGTAGAATTTGATCCTATATATAGAAGGCCCGTTTGGCAGCAAGTCCAACCCCACGTGGTTTTTAGAGGACACCGTTTTAATTGTGAAATTTGTGGTTATGTTTGGACATATTTGTCAAAGCTGGACATGAAAACAAGTATTATCAAGGTCCCTTTTGACGCGGGGGGGATTTAAAGTAATGTTTTTTCTGTTTTGGATATCAGACAAATCATAATATTTGTTGTGTTTAACGGTTAATTTCACTCTTTAAAAAAATTTAATTTCAAATGTAGTTTTCAATACAAAAATTTTTTTAGCAGACGTTGAAATCTTAAGTTGATTAATTTCATTTATCTTTTTTTTTCGCAAAAACCGTGATTATTTGATATTGATTGTAATTCTTTGAAGATAAGATAGGAAAATTAAATTACAACTATCATTTTTATTATTAAAAAATTAAGATTTTTTAAGTTAAATCAGTCTTGAGATATAACAAAAGGAAATTTAATAATAATTCTCAAATTGTTCATAGTATTAAAGAGTTACTTTTACTCAGCGTTTCCAATGTAATATCGGTTGCTGAACTCCCATTCGCTATAAATCTCGGTCCTCAGCATCCACTGCGGAAAGTAGCCTGTCTTTCTTCATCCTGGTTATCGTGCTAATCCATCCACCGTACTTTTCCGTCGTCTTGGATGACAAAGCTTCGATTTTCTTGGGCACCGATTGGAGTCCATACGAATGATGACCATACCGATGTAGGATCCTCTCTTCGTTTTTGAATATCTTCAGAATATTTTCAACCAGTCTTATAGATTCATGTTTTTTGACTTTTTCCGGATACCCTTTTCCCAGAGAACGGAATTCAACGCATGAATTTTGCGTCGTCTCTATCTTGAACAATGATGATCTGGTCATGTGCAAACAGAAGTGAATGGACATGGTCATCTTCACCTCCAAGCTTCTATCCCATCTCTCCAATATTTCATCGAGGGTATATTTTGAATAAAGATGGAGATAGGCAGCAGTCTTGCCTATTAAAGATAAAGTGTAAATACTGAAAACCTCCCTGAAATCTTTAATATGGATTACCATCCTAATTCAGTTTTTCACTATAATATTGTATAGACAGCTTACAAATGGACTTACCACACTTTTTTTATTTTTATTTTCTCGGCCTTCTTACATTGTTTCGTTTGCCGGGGAATGGAGATAAAATAACTCTCGGTCTTTGCGATTGTCGACGTGATTTTATGTTACTGCGCGCGCGTACCCACCTTCCACATACAATTCCGTCTTCTTTTCTTAGGAGAATTTGACTTTTAAGTGGTCGGGCCAAATCTATGTTCAAGTCAGAATCACGCCACCCGACGGCAATTTCTCAATTAGGGATCTTCGCCAAGGACGGATATATGGATTATGAAATGATCGCAGTTTTCGTCCCATTCGGGTTGAACTTTTCAAGAAATAGTGAACTCTTATCGACCGGGGAAAAATTGAGCCAAAATAAACCCCACGGAGATTTCCAGAGATCCTTTTGTTTCTCTTATCGCGAATTTACGCGTTGGGACAGTTATATCAGTTGCATGTTTCCAATCGTCAACTTCCAGGAGTAAACAAAGGGAGATTAGTTAATGGGAGGGCATCCAATAGATTAAAAGATGAATTGTAATTTTTTTTTCTTGTCTGGTACTTTTTGTTTTATTGCTGGACTAAATTGAAAAATAAATGACAGTTTTTTTTTTTTTTTGATAAATTTATTGACCTTTTGGGTTCAGATCAAAGATTTTGATCCAGGGAAATCATCCGATTCCACGTTATGTAAACTGGCACGATTTCGTTATCTACTTTTTCTTAAAACAAAAAAATGTTAATGGATCTTAAATTAAAAAAAATTAATGGATGATAAATTGTAAATTATGATGTATTTTAGATTAACTTTAACTTTAACTTTAACTGTATTGGAAGAAAAAATAAATAGTGTTTTTTTATATTTATTTTTTGCTTTGGACGGTAATAAATGTTCAAAAACGTATTTTAAAAAAGTGGGGCTTGTGAAAATGGGCTGGAAGGAAGCTATTGATGCAAGCGTACAGACATAGCAAAATAATTATGAAAATGTGTTGGGCAAATATGATATTTTTATGGGTTTTGCATAAAATTCAAATGTAAATTTAATATAAGATTGCCAAGCAATATTTCTGCTCGTTGTGGGAGGGTGGTTTGAGATTTTGTATTAATTGTTCACCAACTGGAGGGCAAAATAGAACCAGCTTAGATTTAAATATTTTAAAAGTATTAACGTTTCTTTCCTTCAGCCCGAAATAGACAAATTTTTATTGTTTGTTAAAAAAAAATAAAATAGACAATCTATTTTTTTTTCTCCAACCAATAATTTTTTGTTTAATTGTCTACTGTACTGAAAAAACAATTGTAAATAATCGTGTCATCCTCGTGATCAGGATGTCAATGTTGAAAAGAAAAAACCCCGCCAAATCATTTGATAAAGATAGGTGTCATGCGCCAAATGGAGGGGAGATTTTGAAGAAAGTTTACATAACACATTTATCGGGTGCTCCTGGGATCAGTCATGGCATCAGTTGTCTTGACGCAGTATGTGCCTTTATTGTTTAGTCAGATGAACTCGAGTATGGACATCATGTGGCCCAAGTTAGAAACAGCACTGACGACGACAATCCACTCGGCGAGTTACGTCCAGATCACCGTAATAGCCGCGTTCTTCTACTGGCTACTGCATGCAAGGTTCGGATTTTTCATATTAAAAAAAATTCTTAAATTAATTGAAATCTCTTCTTAATTCAATAAATTTTACAAAATTGCAAAAATAATAAATTAAAAAAAAAAAAAGGTTAAAAGTAACCGCTTGATGGATTGGGAACAATGGTCGGCGGGAACGTTTCCACCATTTTTTAAAGTTTATTTTATTATTTTTTATTTATTTATTTTTATTGAGGGGATTTCAACTACGAATTTATACAGGGTGTGCGGGTGTGTTACAAACTTTGCCAGTTGATTCTACATTTAGAACGGAACCAACCATCAACCAGGGTTTTTTCCTTTCCTTCATCAATTTCTTCATCTTTGCAAAAAGTAATAATTAAAAAAGCAATTACACCACTAAATAGGATATCAAATGGAGTACGTTTTCTGAAATTTACTGGTCTCTAGGTTTGGAAATAGTAGTTTAGAATCACCATAGTAAGTTTTTCAACTATTAATTTTTTTAAAGTTCTGACTAAATTCCCTTCGATCCCCACCGTCGTTCCTGAAATTTTCTTTCACGCACCCCTCCCAGAAAATAAATATACAAGTCAATCAAAAAGTTATTTTTTACGATAATTATCGTAAATTATCTATTTATTAGGCTCGGTTTCTACGTCAAAATGGATATTTAAATACTGAAATACGTGATATGTGACTGATCGACGTGGCAACATTGGCTAAAAATTCACTAGTTTTCGTGGTCCGCTTGACCAATTAATAGCTTTCAATTAATTAAGGTTTTTAGTTGAGATAAAGAAGTCAGTGTCACGAGCGGGATTCGAACCCACGATCTTCGGCTAGGCACGCCGCTGCTCTACACTTGAGCTATCGTGACTTCGATCCACTCGGACACCAACTTCCCATCTCAACCCCACCTTTTGAATTTTCCCTCCTTTTTTTGCCATTTTTCAAATGTCGTGTAATCTACTAGGCCATTTCATTTGTCGCCGAGAATCAAATAGATTACACGACATTTGAAAAATGGTTTAAATTTCGTGTAATCAAGATTCGTCTCAGAGACATATGAAGTGGCGGAGATCGAAGTCACGATAGCTCAAGTGGTTAGAGCAGCGGCGTATCTAGACGAAGATCGTGGGTTCGAATCTCGCTCGTGACACTGACTTTTTTATCCCAAATAAAACCTTAATTGATTGGCTAAAAAGTAAAATTAATTAAAATAATTAATATGGTCAATTAAGACTACTAAATATATATATGTGTAGGCAAAAATATTTTTTTTTATCAAGAAACAAAGTTGATATTAATTTTCTGTACATCCCCACCCAAAAAACCCCCTGTTATAAATTGTTTGTAAACTCAAAATATTTTTCCGTAGCACCCGATTGTTGTTCGAAAATCACAAAAATGGTGATAATATTGAAACGACTCCACTGGTGTTCATTGCTGTAGAGCCCTATAAAAATACACATACCGGCAGAAATTTGTTGCCTTCATAAATGAGTTAGAACATAGAAATAAAATGAAACTTTTAGAGAGTGTTTTGTTGATTTCATTCTTATTTTTCTTACTTATAATACAGTAAAAATCAATGTTTGTTGATATAGGCTCAAAGAAGAGAAATACAGTTTTCTAACGGCTGTAATATTGTAGACATTGATAAAATCTGTAGGAGTTAGACGTTTTTAGTGGAGCAACGGTCATCGGCGGGAAAAATTGCCCAGCTCAAAAATGGCAATTTTTATTTAAATGAAAATTGTTATTTAAGGGTGTTAAAAGGTTGATGGGTAGGAAATAAATTGCGTTTATTTCGTCAGACGCTTTTCAGCCTAATATAGACCATCTTCAGTGACGTTTTTAAAAAATAAAGTAGATTGACGGGTTGCTACATAGTTGTAAGTTTAAAAGTGGATATCTGGACCTCTTTGTACATGGCGAATTCTTGATAAACTACTCGCCTCGTCCATAGTCGCCACATATCCACTTTTAAACTTAAAACTATGTAATCGAAAAAAAAGTTTTAAAAAGTCACTGAAGATGGTCTGTATTAGACGGAATCGCTTCTGGCGAAATAAACGCCTGTTATGGAAAAGCCAATTTATTATTGAGTCAACTTATTATTGAGTTCCACAAAATTAGGATGGACACTATCAAAAAAGAGTCCAAAGGTGCGAATTGTGTTTTTTTTTTAAATCTACTTCGCAGTTAATGCCTTTTGTTTTTGTGACGTTTGGTATCTTTAATATCATTTAATACAATCCCGCTTTTTATGTTCCTATTCTAGTTTAAAAATCGTCTGATAGGAATATATTAATACTGAAACACATGCACAACAAATGCAGAAAAATACAGTTAAAACACCTATGTAAATTGCATAAAATATTTTTTACGGGCCTACTGGGACTGATTTTTACATGCACAACAAGGGCAAAAAACATAATTAAAACACCTATGCAAATCGCAGAAAACATTTTTTACGAGCTTCCTGGGGCTAATTTTTCCAAACCTCTATACGGGTGTCTAATATTTTTGATGTAGTAACAACCCTTAAAATTTCATTCAGATTGATTGAGAATATAGTGAGCAGTGGCAGCTTTGTTAACGCAATTTCTGGACATTTTTACATCAAAAATATTATTTTTTTCTCGGTTCGTAGGTCTATTATTAGCAAGAACGCTCGGACACGGGTCCAATATACACTGATAGGCAAAAAATTCCACCCATTGTAATATAACTTGTTTTGTATACATTTTTATGTATTAATCAAAGTTTCACGTTTTTTAATGTTAAATAATTGAAACTTAACTGAAAGTTTCTCTCCCTACTGCCTCCTGGTCTGACAGGTTTGTCAGATTTGTTTATAACTAACTATTTGCTCAATGTATATTATGTATAGATCGCAATCAATAAAATAAACATCTTAAAAAAAAAAATGAAACTAAAAAAATAGTAAATTGCTAAGGAAAAAAAGTCGGACAGATAAAATTTGTTTAAATTTTGTTTTAGATTATTAATTAACATTTCAATATCGCATATTTCCTCCTCTTGCTTTAATTACATCTCGAAGACGCCTCGGCATATTTTCTACGAGTCTGGAAATGTCTCTTTGCTGGAGGTTAGCCCATTCTTCACCAAGAGTTCTTTCCAGATGCGGAGTATATCAGGAAGTGATGGACGTGCTCTTATTCGTCTTTTTAGGTTATCCCATAAATGTTCGAGGGGGGGGGGTTCAAGTGGAGAACGGGCTGGACAGGCTTAAGACCCTGATGTTATGCTGCTGAAGGTACGTTTGTACTATAAGAGCGACATGCGGACAGACATTATCGCGCATTAGAATAGGATTGTCACTGATTTCATCAAGGATAGACAACGTGTTCTAAAATTTCATCCAAATAGCGAGTGACTGTCAAAGACCGTACAAACAACAACCAACTCTATGCGACTCTCCATTGAAATTCCCGCTCAAACCGTCACTGAGCTACGTTTAAAGGGTTGGCTCTGGGAAAAATACAGGCTTTGTACCTTTCATTTCGCCTTTTCCACACGTTTTCACGTCCATCTGGAGATCGTAGAGCAAATCTACACTCATCTGTAAAAAGTACGGCAGACCAATCGTCCAATGACCAATGGCTGTGCTCCGAGCAAATGCGAGCCGTGCAACTTGTGTGTTCTGGTCAATTCTGTTCCTCTTACCGGCGAAAAGCCATCACTGAATTAATCTTCTTCGAGCAGGCGTTCAGAAATTTGGACACCTCGAACTTCCTGGAGCTGATGAATCGCTTGACCAACAGTAAGGCGCCGGTTTCGCAAAATTCTCAGAGTCAAAAAACGGTCATCCTGTGGTTCTGTTACCCTAGGGTGCCCAGAACCGGGTCTTCTAAGGCCCAGCTTCTCCAAAACATCTAACGGCGTCTCGAAGCAATTAGACAAATTAAGGGCAGAATTTTCTTTTATCGAGAAAAACCCAAAAAATCATTTAGGTAGAGTTTTTTTGCCTGTCAATGTATTTCGATCTAGTCTTAAAGCGAATGCGATTCCCCTGCGCTATGGGCTGCCTTGTATTTCGATCTAGTATCATCAAAAAAGTTTTCATTAAAATCGGTGATCTCCTTTTGTAAGTTAAGTTTTTTAATCTTAATTACGCATAATTGCAGAATTTATAAAAGGAATACGAATAATAGATTATTGCGCTCATGGCTAGAACTTATCAAAGCTAAAAAGAAAACTACTAAAAATTTATACTGTTATTATCTTGGTTGTGTTTCTGAGTTCACGAGCACTTGACAATTTTGTGATGAGATTAGTAAATATATCAATTCACAATAAAGATAGTGTTTTGCAAGGCCTAGTAGATTGCCTAATAGGAGGGGAAAATAGAAATGAGATCTTTCATATAAAATTTGATATTCCCTGAGGTCACAGAACAGTAAAAACAAGGACATTGTTATAAAAACAAAAACAAACATGCTTAATTTTAAGATTAATAATGAATCAATTCGCAATATAGATAGTGTTTTACAAGGCCTAGTAGATTTCCTAACAAAAGGGGGGGGAAGTCTCTTTCATACGGAAAAATTGTTTTTCTTGATATCCCCTGAGGTCACAGAACTGTAAAAACAAAACACTGTTATAAAAACAAAAACAAATATTTGCTTCAGTTTAGTTTATATAAATATAAGTGGAAGTTTATTTATATTTACAAAATTTATTTCGTTATTTTAATCGATTATTACAAAGCGTTCGCAACTTGTCAGTTATGTTTCAACATGATTAATAGGTTCATTTGTACTTCTGCTGTAAAGCACGTGTCGTTTATCGTGGAGAGGGACAAAGATCAAATCGGAGAGAAAACCTTGAGTATTTACTCAGGTAGTGAATTTTTTTGTTGTTGTTAACATAAGGTAGTTAGTTATCTAATCGTAGCCATTATTGTTTAATAATACAATCGATACCCTTAATCTTTGACTCGTGTAATCTTCAACGAGTCTTTTGCCCCAACGTTTGCTTTTAAAGTATGTACATTCGGTTTTGTCGAATATCTGGTTCACAAGAAGACAATAAAAGAACAAAGTTATCGCGTCACCAGGTCCAGTCACCATCTTAATAATTATCTCGGCGATAAAATCCTCTTGGAAAAATACTTGTTAAATTTAAATTGGTTTCGCTTTCATCCCGTTGGTTTTATGGGCTTGCCTTTTACCGGAAGTGGTCGGTTAGACTCCACCACCATGAGGACTAACCATGGTCAACAATGCCGTGTCGATGGACAAGCACAAATCAACCCATTACCATGTTTACAATAGCTGTGAACGCGTTAAGGGTTTTGTCAAATTATTTATTTTTTAATTAAAGTTATTTTCCTTTATTCAGCTGTTATATTACTGTCTCGTCCGTCTTAGGAGTTTAATAATTTAAGGTAGTAACAAAAATGTGAATTTATAAGTGGAAATGGGCAAATTAAATAATCTTTATGAGCAGTAATTTGGCCATTATTTATTCAGATTGTAACAATTCCCACGATTACAGCATCTCAGTTACAAGGCATGCGAATTTATTTTGAAAATTTAAGTTTTGGTCTATTTATAATCAATAAACGTCTGACAAACCTTACAGTTTAAGTACATAAACGTGCTTAATTTTTATTTTGTCGTAAGAGACACCCAGACCAGGAAAGTGTCGACGATTAGAAATGTATGGATCAGTGGGAAATGAAAGTGGTTCGGTTACTCTCGAAAATTTCTGTTGCCTATGGTGTAAGAGAATTTTGGCGAACCATCAATCGCCAACGATCAATCAGAAATACGCAAAAAAATAAAGTCCTATTCTACTTTTCTTTTACCTGTTACTAAAAATTTACTTACGTTGTATTGTGTTATTTCAGGAAAACTATGTTTTAGTATAATTGTCTTATTCCTAACCAACTTTAAAAAAAAAAATATTTTTAGTTGTTATTTAAAGGCCACCTCTCTTGCCTTGATTCTTCACCTAAGTAAACTTAAAAGAAATATTAACCGATTAAAATTTGGTTTTAAAAATAATTTTACTATTACATCTTCCTCAGGCGAGCTAGATGGTTATGCTGAACATACTAATTTCCAAAAAAATGTATTTAGTTTAAATAAAAATACATTATCTATCTACATGCCTATCTACTATTTCACCTGCTCTCGCCAGTGATCAGGCCCGGCTTTCGATTGAGCTTAGGATAGGATCATGAGGATCAGGAACGTACTTTGGAAGCTGATGGGCATCCTATCTTTTACATACATTTTAACCTCTAATTTGGCTAATATATACTTTTGGATTTGGTTCTCCTTCCATATGAAGTAGGGATATTTACCTTTGATCAATTGTGTCCGATCTGGTCTAAGGGATATCCTGGAAGGTATTCGTCCCTTTTATGAAGTAAAGAATTCTTCTCAGGGAGTGGCATCAAGGTCTGACCGCGATTTCCCATGTTTCATACTCTTTTCCTAGCCATTTTAGGGCAGTTTCATAGGATATGTTCAGTCGTCTCATGTCTCTCTTGACATAATCGATAAAGGTCACCTGACGATAGTCCTATTTTTAAAGAAGATTTTATTCTTTTCTGTTGAGTGGGAGTTCCTCTTTCTCTTGCCTGGTTTGCACTCCCGGCAGTCGTGTCCTTTAGTTACACAAGCTTCCAATTCTTTTTTAATGCGGCTGTAATTACCACAATAAGCTTTGGGCTGAAGTTCGAGTTGGATCCTCTTTTCCTTTTGCACAGGGACGATGGAGAAGTTCCACGCGGTAGTGTCCTGGGTGTATATAAGATCTATACAGACGGTCGATGTCCATTCTCATTTGATGATGATCGCCGTATTATCATCAAATCCCGTCATAGTTCATCGAAACCTGTGCTCACCTATCCTCAGAGTAGTGGTGTACAAAATCACGCATTGAACTAAACATCTAAATCCAAAACTTCATCCAAACTATCTTCCGGCGAATCATTCTCCCTCCGGTCTATTACAACTTCATTCCATTTCCAATCGTCCGTTACTTTGGGCCGTACCTAGAACATAGAAGTAAACATTTACTTGACAACATTTCATGTTGTGAGATCTTCTTATAAAAATTTCACCCAAATAAACATTATTTCAATCCTGCAATTTTCGTTCAATGTCTTCTTAACAACACTCCTTGATGTCTCAAAAGACATGCCCCGATGACCTTCTTTCAGAAGTATTTTATTGCTAAAACGAGACTATCACTGAATAGCTTCTCCACTCTGATTGCACTAATCGCAGATTGTGACAAAATAAGTAATAATAATGAAAAAATAAACTTTTGTTAAATAAATATTTGCCACAAATTGTACCCTCACTCATTCGAACAATTTTTTTTCTTTTAATGCTTCTCGAATAAGTCTCAACTTCACTTTCATTCGACCTTCTCGCATAGTTTCACGAGCCTACGAACAGGAAAATGGCCCCCTTCTCCAGTGCGTGCAGAAATTCTTTGCGTTCCAGTTTTCGGTTGAAAATGAGGACGATCAGATGGCGAATGTAAAAGTAGGTGAATTTTTTCCCATCTTCGATTTATCACCAGGTCGAAGAATTTAAACATCAACATTCTAAGTTCCCATGAGATATCAAGTGCGCGACAGGTTATTTCTTCCGGGTTTGTGCCGATTTTGTGGGGGAAATCAGTTTATTTTGTAAATCTGTCCTTAATAGGCCGGCTTTAAAATGTTTAAATAAAATCCAATTCAATCGATTTTTTAGACAAAGAAATCTTTGCAAACAAATTGTTTATACTACTTGTTACTCTGTAATTATTTTAACTTACATTAGAGACCGAAATGTAGCCTAATTATTGTTTATGATAGTATACAGGGATAAGGCGAATTGGAAGGTAAGACAAATATTAAACACCTTCGGCAAGCTTTCAAGTATTATATCTCTTTCATCAGGTCTTTGAAACTATTTTTAATCTTCTCGGTTTCCTTGGTTTTTTAAAAATTAAATATAGTTAACTGTTTTAATGAACTATTATAAACAATTAATTTGCTTATTTCTGGCAGTCAGATGATGCATTGCCAGAAATAAAGAAATGCATTGGTTTGAGAAGTTAAATAAAACACATGAATATTTTTAATGTTTCACACGGTTAACAAGTGTTTTTCTTTTTTCAAATTTGACTGATCTTTTATATTATATTTTTCGGCTGAAATCAACCACATCAGGATAATTATGTTTATTGTCCTAGTTGTGAAAAAATCGCCATCATTAGCTTCGAAGTCTTCAATTTTGTGAAGATTTCCTTGTAAAGCTGATTTGTCCGCCCTTGTGGGAATTTTGATATGCATTGGACAAAAATTTTGCTAAACTTTTTTACCTCCTCTAACATTCAAATACGGAAATATGCATAGACTTATCGAAACAACTATTGCAAAACACATCCATATTAATTTCTCATTTGTGCTTATTTATTCTTCAGGAAAAAACCAGAAACTTTTCCCACATTTACTTTGTACTCCTTTGTTTCAAGTCTTCCTTCTTGCGTGCATCATCTCGCCTTGGTTATAGTGTAAAAAATATATAATTTCATAAAATGTTTATGCAAATTAAAATGATTAATTTCTTTGTTCCACGCTTTAAAAAAAACTGTTTTACACATGTCAAACTTTAAATTTATTAATGTGAAAAAGAAAATGAACAAAACTTTACATTTATTCTTAGATATAAATGTTAATACACTATTGCAATTTATTACGCACTGCAAAATCAATTAATTTCAATAATAATGCGACTAAACAATTAATTTCGATAACAAAAAATAAATTCATTACAGTGAGTCAAGGAAACGAGACATTAAAACAGGTAGTTTATCAAGGTAATGAGGTTCATTAGCTTGAAAATATCTAGTCTGTCTGCTTAACTAAGCATCCAAATAGTTGCAATAAGTGATTTATTACGTTAGTTAAATGTTCAAATATCGACCGTCTAACATTTTCCGATTTTGCAAGTTTATGTACTTTCTCCAAGGCGATAGAGGAAGAGCGTGTCATTTTTACATAGACACGAGATAGTTCGAAGTTTTTCTCGGCTGTGCCTTCCTTTGGCTTGAACGGTTTTTTCTTCCTTACTTGGGATACAAAAGTAATCCATTCGTTCTGCCCGCAAGCCTGACGGATCCCAGATGTCGATTAGTAGGTTGTCATTGGAATTCGGAGCTTTTCTCCGGCAAAACCTAATATAATATATCTTATTAAAATAATATTGTAATATCTTATTGAAACAAAACAAAAAACCACGTATTTTTTAATTATGAAACGCTTTTGATTTTAAAAGCAGGAAAGGTCGGTCGTAAACAAACTTTCCTCTTACTTATTTATATTTAAATTGATCATTGTTCAATCGGATTATTTTTTCATCGGTCCAATTTTAATGTATACCACTCTTATGTTACTAGGTGAGCATTTCCGCGTTCGTTAACATATGTATTATGCAAGACTCAATTAAATCGAAATATTTAAATTAAGTTCAACAATAAAAAACAAAAGGACTCAAACTAAGGTGTTAAAACTACAGAAATAACAATATAAACATTATTAATGGGTGAACCAGTTTAATAATTTTTAATGTAAAGTGTTTAATTATTACAGTACAATACCCATTTGACCTTTTAAGTGTCCTGAGGGGGCAGAAAAATCCTTGGGCCAATGCTTTGAATTTGTTTTCTGCAACCAGCAGGGTGCTACTGATTTTTTAAATTTTTAAATTAAAAAAAAAGTGTGAAAATGTCCAAAAACCTCAGATAATATCAAAGTTTGATGAAAGAACTCATCTTTATATTTTTTCTTCCCTGTTAGAAAATCTATTAGGTTCTTGCAAAACACTATCTTTATTGTGAATTGATATATTTATTAATCTCATCACAAAATTGTCAAATGTTCATGAACTCAGAAAGTCAACCAAGATAACAACAGTATAATTTTTCAATGATTTTGTTTGGTTTTACCTTTGATAATTTCTAGCCATGATCGTAATAATCTATTATTCATTTACCTATTATAAATTTGACAATATGTCCAATTTAGAGTCTTAGGATAGAATATTGTTTGTGACGAATAAGTCTAGACTAAGTAAAACTCTTATTACAAAAGGATCCCAATCCATTCAATTTTAAGGGAACCCTTTATGATGATCGTAAATAGAAAAAAAATATTAGACACATGCGCGAGTGTCTTGCTAATTGGACCTAGGGGAGGAGAAAAAATACTTAAGTGTAAAAAGATGCTACTGCTAATAGTTCTCTTTATCAATTGAATGAAATTTTAAGGAATGTTAGGTACATCGTTTTATGTCGTTAGTACATACAAAAATATTAGACACGTGTATAGGGTTTGGCGAAATTAACCCCAAAAAGCCCTTAATAAAATCTAAAATATAAATGTTCCCTACTGAGTTTGTTTATAAGTTTTAACGTAAACCAAAGCATATATGTTGACGACAGTATTGTTATTATAAGAGAGTTATAAAAAATACAGATAAGCCTGAAATGTGTAAAAACTGTGAAAATTGTAAATACGTTAAGCACGACCGTTTAAATCGATAAATCTTTATGACCTGTTTTTTTGTTTTATTGTAATTAATAAATGTTTAATTGGTCAAGCGGACCACGAAATTAGTGAATGTAATTAATATATTTTAATCTATCGCTTTGATTTATAAACTCTTGTCAGAATAACGTGGTTTGACAAATTTGTGTAAAATGTTTTTTTTCTTGTTGCATACTGGCCGCCTATGATCCGCATGTAAATCTAAATCACGTCTAAATCCGTAAGCGTGTGTCCGTATTGACAGTACACACTCAACTTACTATGTTAGTTGCTTAACTATGCCAGGGCTTCACGAGTCATGATAAGATTCTATAATTAGTTGATGTATTTTTTCTTAGGAGCTAATCAAGTATCTTTACTCAACTTGGCCTGAAATACAATTATCAAGGAAAATTAAAAAACGAATAGAATAATCATGATTCATGACAATGCAAGGCCTGAAATGTATTTCAGTCAATTAATTTTGATTAATTTTTTGTTGAGACAGTAATTGTTTCTTGTGCATATTTATGCTTTAAATTCTACTGAATTATTTAAACAAGACTTCTATTGAAAATGACATCTTTTGGATTAGTTCCACAGCGGAATTTACTAAAAGAGCACGATTAGTAACGTTCTAAAAATATTTCCTATTTTTAAAAAAATATGGACATAAATTTCTGATCAGCCCAATAATTAAGTAGGTTATTAATTAATTCTACAACCCAATTTATTTGAAAAATAAAACCTATTTTCACAATTTGTTTAAAGAAATAATTTGAAACAAATTTCTTTAATTTTTGTGTGTGTTATATTTAAATTTATCCTTTAAAGGATGAATTTTGTGTCAAGACGGCACATACGGACTATTTCCTAGGTACCGACCTTTCGTCCACCATGTATTAATTTAAAAAAATCTATAGTATTGTTTTTGGTACGAGATCATTTATATCACCATCATCAGAACTATACTATCATCACCATAAGGCATAATCACCAAAAATTCAGCAATGCAATTTGTTCCTTTTAAGCCTTCCTTTGGTCTGTATATTTAATTATGTAAATCTACAATATTGTTTTTTTTTGTTTTTTTAATGAGATTTTCATTTTTAAATCAATATATCAGCAGGGTCATACACCCATCATCAGATGTGTTTATCGGAAATAAATTTTGCTTCTTTTAAACCGTCCTTTCGGCCTTGATATATTCACTTCAGTGTAATTTTTTTCTTACAAGCTCTTTCTTTTATATCGCTGTCATCACAACTATCGGGTTGTCCGGAAAATAATGCAGGATTTTAAGTTTTCATTAAAAAAAATCTATATAAAATATTCTGTTTACGTTTACAGGATTACTCATTTGTATGAATGTCAACANTTTTGATTAAAGAACATTGCTTTAAAGTAACTAGTTTCTTTTTTTTTGTTTAATACCAAAATCCTGCATTATTTTCCGGACAACCCAATATATAATCATCATCAGACGTAATTATATGGAAAGCTGGGAAACACATTTTCTTTCTGTTAAACCTTCGTCCATGATATATTCGATTGTGATAATAATATAATAATAATAATGTTTATTTAACAACAAAAAGAAATAAATACAAAACAAAGTAAATTAACATTATACACCATGGTAAATACCGTCTGGGGGAAGTTGATGCTGCATCGTTACATCAACAAAAATATAAGAATGAAATATATAATTGAAAACTAAAAGGTAGAAAACCCTGAAGAATACATGAAGAAAAAAATAGACAAAAAAATAAACTATTAATCATAATTAAATTGCTTAATTAGTTCAAAACGATAAGACCAAGCTAGCCGCGCGTATCTGATCAGTGCTAAGCAATTCTTTCCATTTAGAAATTCAACTAGCTGGGTTCTGCTGAGCTTCCTGTGTCCCGTGTGGGTAAATCTAAATTCAGTGAGGATGGGACACACGACCAAGAAATGGACCGGCATCCTCCCTCTCCCCGTGGTTAAAAACAAGCACAGATTGAAACCTCACGTTCTCGCCAAGGAGTGTGGTTAAGGTAGACCAACTCGCATCTTGACTTGAAAAACCAACATAAGTCAATGGCTGAAAGTTCAGTACTATGGGCATTTAAGTTTAATAAATTTGGGGAGTACTGTAAATCCTTGTATAGTAAAAAACGGTTAGATTGTCTAGCCGATCACACACACTCTTCCCGATAACATCGGTCCATCTTCTGACGGATGGCCATTAACTGAGCACTCCACTTGTCCCTATATTCTATGTTGGAATCGAAACGCACAAGTATCTCTCCTCCAAATCAATGCAGTGCTTGAACAAATTTTTTTTTATAACTTCCAATACGAGAAATGTGGTGATCAGGCAAATTTAGGATTTTAATGCAGTATTTAACATGAAGCCGAAGGTGAAAACTTTAACGAGAGAAGTCGAGGTCTCGATCGTTAACATATAATTAGATGTCATGGGGGGGTAGCCGAAACAACTTTTTAATAAAAAACGCTGAAATGTTTCCACCATCTTAAACTGTTGAAACCTCCAACATTGAGCGCCATAACAGCCAATTGATCGCGAAACAGCTTTATAGAGATTATATTTGGCGGATTTCTGTTGTTAATAAGTCATTCCAGAAACGATTAACACCAAATTTAGCTATTACTATTTTCTCCATTAAATGACAAGTCATTGACAAGTGCGGGGTGAGGGTTATACCCAGATATTTGTACTGCTTAACTACTTCTGTGGTACTGCCCTTATATTTCCACCGATCATTAGCAGCGAGACGACCACCTTTTCTAAAAACCATAATCTTGGTCTTGGTTACATTCACTGTGAGGTTCCATTGATCACAGAACGCTCTAGGAGATTGTGATGTTGCTCTGAAGAGAAACTCGGTCTGGAAGTAGAAGCAGAACGTTATCTGCATACATCAAGATTTTAACAACTGTACCAGCCACTCTGAACCCCTTCAAGAGCTGCGGGCAAGTCATCAAGAAAGAACGAGAACAATAAAGGGACTGAACATACAACCTTGACGGACACCCGATCTGACCTCAAAAACTTCTGAAATGCCCTGGTTGCCTCTTACTGCCGAATATGATTGACGGTACAAGCTCTTCAAGGTATTAATGAATTTTGAAGAGACCCCCAAGTAAAGAGTTTTAGATACAAAGCTTTTCGATCTATCGAGTCAAAGGCCGATTTGAAATCAACGAAGAAACAGTATAACTTCCCTTTTTTGCTGAGAAATTTTAGTTTTATAATATTTATTAGAATCAACAAATTGTCAAAAGTTGAGTAGCCTCTTCGAAAACCCGACTGGAATTCGCTAAGAACAGAGTTGTCTAATACATGGAATCTAGGCGGCGAAGTAAAAGAACAGTAAAAATCTTCGTGGCAGAATTCAAGCACGAGATTCCTCTATAGTATAGTTGGACACATCATTAACATTACCTCTTAAATAAGGGAAGTATCAAGGATACTCCGAACGAGGAAGGCATATTTTCTGACTCATAAATTCTGTTAAATAAATTGAGTAGTTTTGATCGAAAAACATCTGGAGAGAATTTGAAAAATTCGTAGCCCACTGGTCAATGCCTGGTGCCTTGCTGCGTTTTAAAGAGACCAAAACTTCATTCAATTCGTTAACTGTAAAAGGAAAATCTAACTTGGTTGACTGAAGAAATGGTTCAGCATAAAATATGACGGTAGAGGTGACAGCCAGGTTGAGCAAAGAGTGAAAGTGATCTACCCAATCTTTTAATGTAATAGTAGAATCGCAGGAAAATCCCTTGCGCTTAAAATGTGAGACTAGGTTCCAAAAATTTTTAGAGTTATGCATTGCATTAAATTGAGTGTTAAGTGAAGCAAAGAACTGTTTTTTTCATGAGACATAGACTTTTATATGAAAAATTAGCTTCTAGATAAGCCTGCCTTGCGAACGTATTGCGAGTTCGAAGGCAATTGCTCTCGTTCTGGCCCTAAGGCAGTGAACGTCAAACCAAATGTTTTTACGACTCGATTTCACAAACGATGGTGTGCGCAAGTTATTATGGCACGATGATTTTATTAACTAAAGTAAGACCTCTAAATGTTGCTCGTTTGACGATGGAAAGCACAAAACTTCGTTGGTGTTAATCTCTAATTTAGACAGTTATACTTCTGACGTTTTGTGAAACCAGGGAAGCTGAGGTGTTAACGGAATTCTGTCTAACCGGGCTGAGGACAAAGATATAGATAAAAAAAGAGGAAGATGGTCCGAGAAGTTCTGGTCCAATACTTTGAACTCATATATATCGGAAATATAATCTCCCGAGACACAGCAGATAAGCACGTTTACCGAGCTCCCCATGCTTCCTAAAAAAGTAAATTCACTTTCAAGGTCATCAAAAAACATCCAATTCGGTTGTATAAATCTAGCGTTGTCTTTTTCTAGTTTTTCGTTTTTATCATTCAGATGACTTCATCATCTTCAGGGTTATACACCCATCAGATATAATCTCTCAAAGATGGGCAATAAATTTTGCTTATATTAAACCGAATTTCGTCTCCGATATTTTCAACTAGATAATTGTATTATTAATTAAAATTAATAAAATTGTTTTCCCATTTTTATTATGAACTTTTCGATTTTATTCATACTTACTTCATCACTTTAATCACATAATATACCTTCCAGGCAGTGCATAATGCTTCGGTCAAACCTTCCTTGTGTAATAAGTAAATAGTCTGTACTATTTTTTTTTGTGGGGCGTCGGTGGCCGCAACGGTTAGGCGTTGACACGGCGCTCATCACTGGAATGTAATGGTCCCGGGTTCGAATCCAGCGGCCCTGCATTCGAACCCGACATACTTACAAATGGGCTTTTTTTCAAAAACACCGGCACCCTGAGGGTTTACACGACCTCTGCTGTTGCGAACCCTCGTTTAAAAAAAAAGAGAAAAATGTACTTGTCATAGTTCATTGTTATATGAGCATCATCAATTTTGTACAATCTTCACTATCATCCAAATGTAATCACCAACTGCTTGCCAATACCTTTTGCTAATGGTAAACCGTTCTTTCAACCTCCACATATTAAACTGAATTGGATATTACGTTTTTTCTCAGATCACGCCGAAACCGAGAAGTCTTGCTATCACACAATTATCAAATTATAAAGATTTAAAGAAAATAAATTAGAGAAAACGTGAGATGACAGATAAATGAAAGTCTGAATGAGTTCATTTTGGTGCTGATCTCAGTAGTGAACTACCATAAAAAATACGACAATTTTTCCGTTCTATCAAATTTGATTCCTCTCAGTTTTATTATCGAGGTCAGGTGTCAGTGCTGATTCCATATCGCATCGTATGACTCGTCGTCTAATCGGCAAAATTAAAACTGCCCATGTTTTCGACCCGTGGCAAAAGATTTGGCCATGATTTTCATTTTGATTTTCTTTCAGGATACGCGCCATGGTGGACGTCATGTCGGCCAAGCTGTACGAAGTGTGTTCCTCACCTTACGAAGGAAGCTCTGGGAATGGCGTGAAGCAAAGCTCTTCCTCACTTCACCACCAGCTCACACAGTACCAGCTTCGTAAACGGGAAAATGTTATGAAATCCAAGAATTCGGCGATAAACTCATACGAAAATGCGCTTTTTGAAACAAAAGAATCAATTTGGAATGGTGTCACACAAACTGAACGGAGACCAGTCGTCGGCCTGAGCTGCCAGAGCTGTACGCCTACCAGTAGAGTAAGTATTCTTTTTTTATTAACGATGGAACTGATGAAATTATAGATAGTTTCTAATAATGTATTGCTTGCAGTTATCATTCAGACGGAACTACGTTAATATTTATTAGTTAAATGAAATAAATCATCACCGAGATGAATAATTACAATTCCATGAATAGTTTGATGAATAGCTTTTATCATTTATGTGGTGATAAGGTCAAAGCAACACCATATTTTTTAAATTGTCTTGACAGTAACACGAGGCGGAATTTTAATTTTGTCTGTTTTTGTGTGACATAAAACGATCTCAATAATTTGTGTTTGCACGACTGAATAACATCAAATATCCAGTATGTTGGTTCTTAATTTTTTCAACAGGTGTTTTAGGATGATAGGATAAGACAAACACATCAAAATAAACATCTCTAAGAAATAGGAAAACTGAAACAAAACGAAAATATTCGTGTCAAAAGAGATAATCGGTGTTAATTATTTCTACGTTTAAATTCAGGCTTTTTTCTGTGGGAACTCGTTTTTTGCGATGTTAGCTTTTTTTGTTGGGTTGCGGATTTTGGTCTTTTAGTGTCTTTTCTTTTTGACTGGCCCAATTTTACTTCTAATCGTTCTCTTGTTCCCATAACAAAACTAAAGGACAAAATTAGGAAATGACGCACTTTGATTAAAAGATATTTTCATTTATTCGGATTACTTATCCGACCCAAAAATAGTTGTACCGGGGTGTAAATAAATCTTTAAGCGGTTTTTTTGGTAAATTCAATGAAATTTCAGGTAATTGTAAACAGATTTAAATAATAATAATAGATGAACACACCTTATTGGACAAAAGAGAAACTCCTCTGGTCATCAGGGCAGAATTCTTGCGAATTTTAAATAGCTTTACCATTTAAAAAGTTTTTTATACCGATGGGCCCAAAAATGAAATTGGTGAAGAGTGTGGGATATTTGCTGATGAGTACAACCTCAGCCTCTACCCCCTACTCTCTATCGAATGAGGCTAGCTTTCGGCTACACAGCTGAACTTCATGCAATCAGAAAGTCATAGAGAATTATAAAGGAATCGCAAGGAATTTGTAATGCTATTGTTTGCTCTAATTCGAAGAGTGGTCTCGAAGCCATCAAAAATAAATTTTTGGTTGACCCATACATCTTAGAAATTCACAAATACCTCTATGTCAAAGCATTTAACAGACATATGATATTTGTTTGGGTTCCTAGTCATGCCGGCATTTCTGTAAATGAAAGAGCTGATCAACAGGCAAGGAAGGCTGCAAACCATCCACAAAGAACAGATCAATTTCCTCTCGGTCTAGATTATATAGTCGTTTATGTTAAAAACATTATCAAACGAAAGTGGGCGGCAAGATGGAATGTCTGTAGAGATAGTATGAAAGAAATGAAGCCAGTTGTAAATAAATAGCCAATTGAGGAACTTGAGAGAAAACTTGTGATTCTCTCTACATTGCGAATAGGTCACATCAGGCTAATCCATAATAGGTTTTTAATAGGCAATAACCTTTCAACTGGCCCTCGATGTATTCGAATTGGAGAACGTGACATTCTTACTGTAAAACATATTTTGGTCGATTGCCGCACTTTGCAACACTATAGGCAAAGGCTCAACCTTTCGAGTTACTAGGTTCCCAGTGTTTGTTTTGTAGTGCACTTATCAGCTTTCTTAAATTTATTGAAATTTGTAATGAGAGTTAGATCTTTTCCCAAATTGTTATACTATTGAATGTTTGCCTGCTAGTGTTTGAATGAGAGTTGTGCGTTTCTTTCTTTTTTCAAGAATTTTGAGGCTGCCGGAGCGGTAAAATGTAGAAAAAGAAAATAAAAATTGCGGAGTAATAAACTACAACGCCCAAAATCGCAATTTAAATAAGGAGACATAACTCCCTTAAAATCATCTAAAAAAAAAGAAAAAACAACCAAACATTAGTTTATTTATTCTATTTGAATGAGCTTACATTCATGCTGAGCCTGTTGCTAGTCTGACTCCATTATTATCATTATTGGCCATACAAGCCTATGGGAAATGTTTAAATTATGGAACAAAAATTCAAATTCTAATTAAAGAACAGGAATAAATTTTATAATTTAATTTTTTTTGCCTACATTTGGCCTTCCAAATGAAGGATATTAAAAGGATAAATTAAAGCTTTGGATGGCAATAGGATAGATTAGTTTATGAGTGAATGTTTTGAGTCAGAGCTTTAAACCACTCAGAAGGGATATAGCTAATCTAAGGTAGAATGTTAGGGCGTGAAATGACCTTAGCCGGTAAAACGCACTTAAAAATTAGTAATAATAAGAGATGAACAATTTTTTTACAGTACTTGTTGCCATCTTCCGTGTTAGTTTGTAATTCAGGCCTCCCCGAACTTCTTAGGTTTTGTCGTCGATGTATTTTCTGGAGTCCTCAAGTGAAGTAAAGTTTTCCGGATTAACTGAAAATCTGAAGGCGAATGAGTGGTTCATCACATCCCAGCCAAATTTCGACAATTTCTAGCACGTCTGCAAAGTCACAAAGACAAAAGAAAAGATTATCCTGGCACAAAACAAATCTCATTGGAATCCCCTAGGGAATTCAAATCCCAATGATGGATGATTATGTGCATTATACACTAGAATTAACACCACTAGAATTTGGTTTGGGGGGAAGAAGCTCAAAATAAAACACCCTCTTCCAAAATGCATGCACCTTATTCTGATGTAATCCGGCTTTTGGAGTAGTTAACGGTGGGTCGCTGCGTTTTCCCCAGTATTTTTTTCAGAACATTGTAATGGATTAACGTTTCATCGCCAGTCATCGGTCTTTTCAAAATGGGGCGTTTACATTTCGTTTGAGGAGGGAATTGCAGATGGAGATGCTGTCTAAAAAAAATTGTCTCAGTCAATATATGAAGAACTGACTTCTCTTTGACAAATATATCCAGTTTGTCAAAAAAGCGTTGAATCGCTTGTACAAGATATGTGGGTTATTTCTAACAAAAACTTGAATTTGATCATCATCACCGATTGAAGGACGACCAGTGCTCTTTGCGTTTTCCAAATCAAAATTTCTGTTTTTGAACCGAGCTAACCACTTACTTGCTTTCTCCTAAACCGTCATGAACTCATCACCATACACTGATGATTACAACTAATCATCGTTACACATTTTCCTAGCAGTCAAACAGCAATAAAAAACGGAAATGCACTATTTTTCCTCCATTTGAAATTAGTAAAACACCTTGTTAACATTAGAGTTCTCGAACGAATCTGATGAATAAAAACACCTTAACTAATCCCTTTTCAGAGTCTGTAAACAATAATATCAAATTAAACATTGCTTCAAAACACAAGAGGGATAAAATAGAATTAATGATAATTTGAAGACTTATTTTACAACCCGATACTTTGCACCACCCTCCTGATAGAATGCTGATTTCTGGAATGCGTCATCAAATATTATACCTTCCAAAAGAATGTGTGTGGTCTACAGATCTAATTACGAGTGATGAGTGTTATAGGTAATTAAAAGTTTGCTTTGTTTAATATGTATTTTGAACTTTAGTTTTAAATTTTTTGTTTTTTATTTGCTTAATCCCTTTTAGTTATGATAATTTTTTTTACAATTTGTATTTCTAATACTTTATTGTACTTAATTTTTCAATGAAGTATATGAAATTGTCAAAATGATTAACAATTAAACTCGTAAAATCCCAGATTCGCTCTTTTGAAAAAAAAAAAAAAAAAAAAAATCACTGGTCAGTGCTCAGAAGTGATGAATACTATTTTTTCGTGTAAAAAACAACAAACTGATTAATCTCAATACCACCGTACAATGAATTAAAAAATGTGTAGGACATAAGTAAAGTATAATTCACCGCTAATCCCATGTTTCGTAGCGAAGAGGAAATATTTTCGTTAGAAAATTTTGTTTTTTTTAAAAAGTAGTATTAATGTCCAGTTATTTTGGTTTGCCCACTGCTAACTCGATTTTTACACTTTTATATAACAATTGTGAAGTCTGCGTGGTGATGAACCTATAGAATTTCGACAATTTCTAGCGCGTTCACGTTCGTTTTCTGAACGTTTTGGTTAGCCTGTCGTTTCTTTGGTCTGTCAGTCGCGTTTCTTCAGCTGCTTTTATCTAAAATTATCATTATAAACTGAAGAGAGTGAGAAACCGAAACTTACCGGACAAGGACAGGCAGATTCCAAAATGACACGAAACTACACTATCACTCTTGTGTTGCTATAGAAATTTTTTTCGAATATTTCTTAACCACATGCTGCGGTATGTCTACCAGACCCCTTGTACTACAAGCTTCTGCATTATTCGGCTAATCTGAACAGGGCTCGGTCCCAATAACAAAAAGCGCTGATTACGGACCAAAAAGTTTTTTTTCTCTCCTGAGAAGTACCAATTGAAAAATTCAAAAGTTTGGCGTGATAGCTCTTTCTTTTTGTAAAAGAACCTCGCCCCTATTACAAAATATAAATATGCCTTAATCCTTAATAACAGGAAATGAGCGCAATACGAGGAAAACCCACCAGATTTAAGTTTATGTTAAGCTTTCGTTTTTATTGATGACTTCCTTTCTATTGTCTTGCTTGTTTTTTTCTTTCTTTCAGTCTAGCATAAAAACCTTCAGGTTAAACAGATTGCATAACACCGACTACAAAGTTAAGGATTTTTTTTTCCCTATATATGGTAATAATTCATTTGTATATTTTTTGTAATGAGAACTTACATAATTGTGCAAATTTGCGATTCTGCGAGGTCATGAAACTGCAGCGTGTTCTTCGATCATCTTGTTGCATTTTCAGCTGCCGTTTTCAGTGTGTCTTTGTCACTTAATAGCGCTGAAGTTCTGAAGAAGCAGAAGATCATTTTTCGGTAATCACCGCACAATTTTGAATATGAATATGTAATAATTCAACTTTTCGTTGCAAACGGTTCATAAAAAAAATGCGTGTGAGAATTTGTGACGTTTGAGTTCTCAGTTAAAAAAGATATTCGAACGGACAAATTCTCCCGTCGTATCCGCTGCACCCTTGACCTCCGAGAAATTAGAATTTTGGGTCTAAGTTAAATCGCAAAATTGGACGTCCCTCAGAAATCCATGGGGTGGGAGCGATTTCTAAATATACGCTCAGACTACTTTTGTTAAACCGCAATTCCAAAGTTGAATACCTACGTTTTCTCGGTAGGACGTCCCTTTTTACAAGGAGCCTATGGGGGTCAGATTTAGGCAATGGTGCCTCTGCGAGGTCAGTAGCTCGAACTTTTTTTCAGGTATCACATTTCTACCCTATCATAAAAAACTAAAAAATTACTCAAAAGTATAATTAAAGCTGTAGAGATAACACATACAACTGATACGTTTATCAGGCAAGTGCAATATCTGTCACGATTAAATCTTTTTCATATTTTACTGACAAGAATGTCTCGCTCTCATCGAGAATATTTATAGGTATTGATATTTATAACACCCATAATAATATATAAGTATATGAAAACATTTTACGAAAATACATATTTTATTATTTAAGAGTTCTTTAATTTAACTGATACTAAATATGTTATGGCCTGGTATAACTTAATTTGTATCCAAGTCATAATTTATATAACATATAACCTATCCATACATTATAATACTTTTTTATTCTGCTCTAAAGTCTAAGATGAAACTCCTCATATGATTTTCCTACAAACATCTCTGTCTTCTGCCTTCCTTTTCCATTCTGTCATCTCCATTCACTACATTATGTCTCAAGGTTTTTCTTAGGTGTCTTCGTTTCCTTTTTAGTAATACCGCATAATGCGTATGTCACGATCTGTTCTCGATTCAGCAAGATGGGCCCAACTCTGAATCCTTTTTATGAGAAACAGAGCCCCAGAGGTCTTGATCGAACCTGAATACAGCCGATCAGATGCCTTTTTATAATAAAATTTAATTAAAGTTTAAAAACAATTTATTAAACACACAAGAAAATAATAAATTTCCTTTTAAATTTTAAACAAACAATTAAAACTTTTTAAATTTAAATAAACAGTAATTTACTGCAAAGCATTTGCCAGACCATTTAGAACAAGTGTGGATGACATGTTGATTTTGATTACCGAAGATACAAAAATAAAAGTCCAAATTTTCACTGCACCGATGCACACGAATCCCTTCAGGATATTAATAAATTTCATGACCGTAGACAAAACAAAAATATAAATAAATTTAATGAAGGCTTTGGTAAAGGTAAAAGGTGTCTTAACAATTTTGAGATGGATAGAAAACAGACAAGGTTTCAAAAAGATTATAATTCTGATAACTACCATCTGCAAATAAATAGGAACGAAAACAGGATTGACCCCCGCACTATTTTAATAAAATACCGACCATTTAAATTTTGGGAATCAGCAAAAACGGAGAGATCTCCGACCAGTCGCGTCGGAGAAATTAACAGTAAATACACCAAATTCATCTACACGGAATGAGCTTGTTCACCTCTGCTCGACTTGAATGTCTCTCCCTCTTCTCTTTTATTTATTTTTTTTACTCTAGGCCTAATCATGGCATCTAAATCATAACATTGTCACTTTGAAATCATTTGAAATGTGACACATAAATAATAATTAAAAACAGTTCATGCCATCATTTACCACCTTGCCACATGAATTGATTGTCTATGATCTATTTATATTTGGTACTCAAGTTGTTTATATAGTTATAGTTCAACTATGATAGCTAAAGTTGCTAATGTCTTCATTCATTGTGATTGATTTTGCATGAACTGTCCATACTTTATAGTCAAATATAACTGAAGTTGTTGATATTATCTTGTCAGATCATTTAAAACAAGCCGTACAATTTGGCCGCTACTTATCATTTTGATATCATCACCCTCACAGGATTGGTTTGTCAGATTCATTCTTCATCTCGCAATCTGCAGTGATTTTTGAGTAATCAAGTTTCTTTCTTCAAACCCAAATTTGAAGATGGTGAAATATCGAAACGCACATGATAGACTAATCCAGTGAGGATAGGCAGACCAAAATGATCATAACAACAAATAACAGGCCTCACAATTTCTTCATGTTGTCATTATTATTTCGTGTAAAAATATCCATCCTTTGGGAAAACTTGGAAAAAATTATGTTCTTTATATCACAACTTTTATAAACTCTATACAATTTGTTTATGTGATCATCTTGTGTGAAATTTATGTCATGTATGATCATAAATGAGTTTTATATAATCATGATTTCAGTTAAATTTGGGAAATGCCATAATTTATCAACTTGTCTGATGATTTTGTACAAACTATCTTTACTTTGAGGTCAAATCATCATAAATACTGATAATTGATTTATATAAAATGATGTGTGTACATACATTCATGTGTATACAGAATTGAGCCTACCATTTCTCGCAGCTCGCCAGTATTCCAGGTTTAGTGGGGTATTGAATACTCCATCAACCCTCAATTAGGCTTGTTATATAATAAGTGTAAAAGGTGGTGAAGTAATATTGAGTATTCCACCACCCTGAGTTAATGGTACATAGGTGATGAATAATTGGTATGTAAATAAGGAAAAAAATATTTAAGAATGAGTGAGTGTGAATGGGTTTGGATTTAGGAATAGATTGCATTGGGGGCTGAAATGACCTAGCTGTCGATAGCCCCAGAAACTTAACCTCGGTGGCCTGACTGATAAGACAAAGGCCTGACCCCAGTCTGCCAATATTTAATTGCAAAAATGTTGTCATAATTATTACAAATTGTTGTAAAATAAAAAAGGAATTGGACCTTTCAATTAAATGGGGCGTGAGCAACCATTCTTTACATGCCGGACACATACTTGGGCTTTGACCCAAAAATAAGTGTTCATGTGTCATCCTTGCGTGGCCTATCCTTAATTGGGTGAGGATGACCCTTCTTTTATTAGTCAGGTCCTCTGAGGGCATTGACAGTGTTGTGCTCTTGATTCGTGAGAACTAAATCATCATAATTGTAATTGTTTATATCATAATTTATCTTCTTGAATGATGATTAAATGGCCATTGTGCATTTTATTGCTAAATTTTAAACTTGTCAAGAATTCTCATGGTCAGGTATCGCCCACCTGATCCGTTGTTAGGATAAGTGTCGTGATGCTCATTATCTCAATGCTACTTGTTTGAGAAGATAACCCCTTTTGTGGGAGGGCATTTAAAAAAAAAATTTTTTTAAAGGATGATTGCAAATTCAGTATCAGTAAACATTGTTTTTCACTATGAAAGTTCACATGACACGTGATTTTTATTGAAGACTTGTATCGCTGAGGAAATTTTATATGAATTTGTTTTGTTCTTTAGCTTTGCAACAGGAAAAACATAAAGTACTTGAATTTTTTTGCAGTAGCTTGGGTCTAAATTTCTTTGGCATACACAAGTTTTCTAAAATTTTGATCTCATATTTAATAATATTTAATTGTACTTGGATTAAGCTCATTTCACTTCTCTTTATTTAATTTGTTTACATTATATATGTTTGTTTTAAATTTTTAATTAAAAATGATCAGCATATACAGTTTCATTTGTTTTTTTATATATATTTTTTAAAATTGAAAATGATGTATTTATTGATAATTAAAAAAAGCATACTGCTTGTTTGTATTTTTTTAATTCTTCGGGTGTTTCTTATATTTTGTTGATTTTTTTGTCCTATCTTTTTAGTTTACTGTTTGAAAGCGATTTATTTGCCATTATTCCAAGCATGTCAAGTGAAGGATTTATATTGTTACTATATTACTACTCTGTTATCATATCAAAATGACTGATTTTATATAGCTATCATTGTCATTTGTGGGTAAAATAAATATTTTAAAAAAGAGAGAAAAAACAGTATTTGTTGACTTTTGGAGATTATCTCGGTTTTGATGCCTCTGTGACCTCTTATCAGACCCCATGCAATAATGGCATCTTTCAAAGAATTATCATTTTATCAAACACATTTTCAGCTCGTGCTGAACAAGAAAGAATAGGTGAAAAGATTGAATAATTGCCAACTGCTATAGTTTTGAGTTAATTAAAACATCTACACTTTAAACTTGAAAAGGGATGGTTCAGCATATTTGAAAAATGATATCAATTTTTGCTTAAAAATATAAGTTGAGAGTCTATTAAACCTAAATAATTGAAGCATTTTTCTTATTAGATAAATATACTTGAAATTTGGTCTTAAATAAACTAAAAATTTGCTTTGCTGATACCACAAATTAGTTAATTAAATTATTATATGGGTTACATCTGTTGGGTTTGTAAGTATAAATTCCTGTCAGAACTGAGGGTTTAATGGCCAACTAACCATTGGGTGATGTGGACGAGGGGTCAAACCACTTTATAATAAATTTTACTTATTTTTACCATTAAAATTCCATGGGCTGTGCCAGTATTTGAACCTAGAACCTCTAAATGTGACAAATACAAGTTTGACCCCTAACTACTTTGCCACTGCAGTCCCTGTTGGTTTGTCACATTTTGGTATTTCACAATTTTCATTGGTTGGTCTTAAATATGTAAAAATTGAATTTAAATTTTTTTAGGCAAAAACAGTGAGAAACCAGGATGATCAATCTGCAGTTCATCACATTTCATGATTAATGTTTGAACTTGGCAGACTGACTAATGTCCATTGTCTTTTGTAAATTTAAATGTAAAAACGAAAATGTATAAAGTTCAATAAATTTACTTCTTTATTATTATTATTATAATGTTTGAACATTTAAAATTTTCATTTTAACAATCTTTATGTTTGTATACAATAGATGAGAGTTTCCCTTTTGTATAATGTTGACTTATGCTCGTTTGCAGAAAAACTTACCAGAGCAAGAAAATCTTCCGATAGTCAATGTTTTGAGGTTGGATGACTACAAGAGGTCTTACAGCTTTTTAAATGGAACTTTTGCCACTATCTTTCACTGTTTAACATTCAAACATTACAATTTTCCGTATATTTTTGGCACGGTAATGCTTTATTTGTGTCATCATTTGTTTTCTTAATTAACTGTTGACTTTTATATATCAGGTATTAGAAGACAGTAATGTTAAAGAATCGATAACAGCCGCAGCAAAAGTTATTGCATCTGAACTTGGATGTACCGATGAAAGGGGGCTTTCACTCATTATTGAAAGACAGAGGAAGCGTGCTGAAAAAATTCTTAGTTTAATGCATTCCAAGCTTTCAAATTTTGTGATTAGGTGTGTATAGGAGTTTTTAAAAATAGTTTTTTTATAGGGTTTAAGTGTATTTTTTGCTTTTTTAGAATATCATCATGGGTATTTTACAAAACTCTTCCTTTACTATTCAAATCCGTTTCCATCCCTGAAGGACAGTTGCACATGCTTAAGAAAGCTGCTGCTTCAGGGCTTCCGCTTATATTTCTCCCTCTGCACAAATCCCACATTGATTACATCGCAGTCACATTCACCCTTTGCAACAACAACATAAGGTCGCCTTTGGTTGCAGCGGGAGAGAACTTGAGAATTCCAATTTTTGGGTAGGTCTGGCTGATATTTTCAGTTGTTTATTTATATCTGATCCTTATTGAATTTTTCAGTCGGATCCTACAAGGTTTAGGGGCTTTCTACATTAAAAGGAGGATAGATCCAGTTTCAGGGAAGAAAGACAAGGTCTATCGGGCCATTTTACAAACCTACATGACGCAGTGTCTACAAGCTGGACACTATTTTGAATTTTTTATTGAAGGAGGTAGAACTAGAACAGGAAAACCTTGCAATCCAAAAGGTATTTTACATTTACATTAATGGTTAATTTAAATTTTTAGGATTTGCCTTATGATATTTACTTTTAATAGGTGGACTTCTTTCTGTATTCGTCGACGCCTACCTAAATGGACTTCTTGAAGATGCGTTGCTTGTCCCTGTCAGTGTAAATTATGAAAAAATTGTTGAGGGTTCGTTCGTCAGAGAGCAGACGGGAGATGAAAAACAACCTGAGAGTTTCATGACTGCGATCAAAGGGATTTACAAAGCACTTACTAGTCACTATGGAATTGTTCGAGTCGACATCAACCAACCATTTTCATTGCATGTAAGTAAATTATTTTACCATTTAAAATGTCCAATACAAATATATTTAAAATAAACTTTGTACTTCAGGAGCTTGTGAGATCCTTCCAAGGCAAAATAAGAACATCTGGTGGTAGTTTACATGTCGTGCCATCTTCAGCTTCCCTTTATGGTACTGACATTGTAATCGAAGAACAGAGGCAACTTGTTGACAGCATAGCGCGCCACATAATTTATGGTAATTAATTTATAATAAAAATGGCTTTAAAGTAAATTCTAACTCGCTTATTTTAAATAGATTGCAGCCAGTCTACTGCTGTCATGTCAACAAACGCCCTGGCTTTTCTTCTGCTGAACATTCATCGAAAAGGGGTGACTCTGGCTGATCTAACCTACTCCTTAGACAAGCTAAGGGATGAATTGATATCTACAGGAAAGGACATGGGATTTACTGGGGAGTCAAAAGATGTGTTAGAACACGCGGTAAGACTTTTTTTTGAGTTTTGCATTGATAACTGCATTTTGTTCAAAAAGTCCTTCTTTAGTTAAAAAAAAGTTATATTTACATTTAACATATTTGTTTTCAAACATTGCGGTGATGTAAGAAGAACAAGACCATTTCATTTTAGATGGCAATTTAATTTAAACCTTATAAAATATTTTTCAAATAATTCATTTGTTTTGTAAATACTTAAAAGTCTTTCCAATTATTTATTTTCAAGTAAATGTGATTTGTTTTTAGATTGAACTCCTTGGACCAGGTTTAATTCAGAGGGAGAAAACAGCCGATGGAGATGTATTCATAAAGCCAGTTACCCTTCTGCCCAATATCATTGAATTAGCTTATTACAATAATACACTACTTCCACATTTTGCCTTGGAAGGTATAATTGGTATGTATTACATAATTAAATATTACGCCAGAGTGAATGGCTGTGCCATTTTGTTATATTTATTACATTTTATAGGGCGAACATTGCTGTACCTTTCTGCCAATTCGCCCACAGAAATGATCTCTTTTGATAAAATCATTGACTGTTCTATTTACCTCTGTGAAATACTTCAGTTTGAATTCATATTCACAAAAACCTGCCAGTCTCTCAACGATGCCATTTTTGACACCATGGACGTTTTTACCCTTAATGAAATAGTGACATCGTTGCAGGTAGATGTTGTTAAACGTAAAGTGTAGTTGGATTTTTAATAATATTGGTGACTTTTTAGAGTACGAAAAGTACATCTCAATCTGGAGCTAGGCTACCGAGAAGTTTGGATATTATAGACGATGATGAAGATGAAGATTTCATTCCAGCTAGCCCATTTTATAAAGTATATACTTATATTGATTATATAATCTTGTAAAATTTTAACTTAATTTTATTATTGTTTAGGTCAATCGCTCGGAACCAAAGTTGAAATATTATGGGGCTCTACTTCGTCCAATTTTGGATACTTATTTTTGTGTTTTTTCTCATCTACAAATGCTTATTGGGAAACAAGTGGTCGAGAAAGAACTTATAAAGGAAATTTTAAACATTATAAGGAGACAACTCAGTTTAGGGGTTTTAACTTGTGGTAAGTGGACTTTTTTTTTTGTGTAAACATTATACAAATTAGAATTTTATTAACATATTGGGTGTAGACTCTCTCGTGCCACAATCATTCTTGGTTCCAAACAATAAAAATACATTTTAAATAAATACAAGTGGGCTTTCATGCGTGTGTAAGTACTCTGCAGTCGATAAATTAAGTTTAACGATAATTTATTTATATACCTTAAAAATGAGTTGCAAATCTTTTAACTATTTATAACTAGGTGTTAATTGTTTAAAATAATGTAAGCTATGTGACAAATGTAGTTTGATTGCATTAAATCATACTACGCCTATTCCTACTGGTTTTGTCTGTCACAGACAGACTGACCACTGATGATGGCGAACTGCCAAAACACTTGACAGGCAAAACCTATAGGCAGGCTAGCTTGGTTGGAGATGATCAAGTTTATCAACTCACAGGCCTCAACATCTGTATCTCTGAAAAATGTTCAAATCTTTCGTTAATTCTGATGATTATAGTGTTATTTTTTCCCCAGGGGAATCACTTTCTACTGAGACGATAAAGAATTGCCTCAAACTCCTTGAAAAGTGGCACATTCTTGACTGCATCAATGTATCGGGGACCAAACTGTACTACCTGAATAAAAATTTCAACACAGAAGTGAGTTTAGAGTCTGTTGTCGACAGAGTGGAAAGGTATAGGCAAGGAGATGTAGAAAATTAAGGTATTTAGAGGGAGTCATTTGTACATTCCTATATTTTATTACGTTACTTTTTGTACATAAATGCAAATATAATATTGTGATGTGATATTACTAAAGTTTGTTATATATATTTTTGTTTATAGAAAACAGTTTTAAAAACGCTCATTTATTAGAGGAAAAATTAAAATCTTTAGAAAGTTGTTAAAAATGTCTGCTGTTTGGAAAACATACATTTAATATGTCTTTTTCAACATTTATTGACAATCTTGTATTGTAGAAAGCTGCGTGACTAAATTTTAAAAAAAGTTACCATGTAAATATAGGCTAGAATGTTATGATGTGCCGAATTGATCCGGTGATTGTTCATTACATTACACATTAGAGTGACAATGTGATTTACATTATAAGAATTTATTTCAAGATATGTTTGATAAAAGGATAATGTTAAGACTGAGATTTTTAAAACTGGTTAAATAATTTGTTTTTAAACAAGATCTTTCACAAAATTCTTTTTATTAATTTTTTTTTACTGACAAAAAATCTTGTATAAAAAATTGTGTATTTGTTTTTTTAATACATATTTAGAAAAATTAATTTGTTAATTATTCTCTCAGCTCCCTTGTTTTTAGTATATGCTGTGCACTTCCTTGTACATAATTAAAAATGAAATTAATTAAGTAAATACTAAGTAAAGTAATTCCTAACATAATCAGGAGGACATAACGTCCAATACCGTTGGGTGTCATATGGCAAGGTGGTCATACCACTTTACAACACATTTTTCATACTAAACTGCGCAAAAATGAATCAGGATATATGTAACTTAAGACTTATTTTATTAATTTTCATTAAATTAACCAAAATATTCTTGCTAGTTGGACAAAACAAAATAGAAAATACAAAAAAAAAAATGGTAATCCTTATTACTTAAAAATACTAAACATTGTCATTGCTGCAAGATGGAACCCTTTCCATAGTGCCTGCCAGATCCTAACTGAAGTACAAAATGTTTTAACAATGCCTTTATCTACACAAACAAATCATGTGGGAAGTTGGCCCTTTGAGACGACCTGCAGCAACAGCCAACCACCAGAAACTCAGGAGAATATGTTGAAGTGATAACCCAGATGGGATCACCAATTGGAATGCTGTTAGGTTTACAGATGAGCCCCGTTTCTGTCTGTATAGTGATAGCAAGCACTGAAGAGTCTGCTGAGAATAGGGGATACACACAATGCCTCTGTTCGTGCTTCCCTCAGTACAGTTAGTTGTTTGGTTGGTATTTTTGATTTTGTGTTATCCAACCATCAAGGATATATCGGTTAATTCAATTAAAATTAATAGATTACAAATATCCTTATTCATTTTTCAGCAGTTTATAATCCATTAAAAAAACAAAAACAAATGTGATGTGTGATTTGATCCCAAAACCACTACAGTGAAAAATACTTGACAGATGCCCTAAGACCCCTAACCACTTGACCACTGTGGTCCCTTAAAATTAGTAATCTTTGTATTGCTATGTTTGTTTTATTTTGATTATACTTCAGTAGTTTTCTTGCACCCGTACCAACAGAATCAAAAATTTCATCGATTTCTAATTCTCTGAGAAATGCTTTTTTCATTTCGTGTAAAGTAATAAATTAATATAAAAAATGTATTGTATCATTTATTTTACATTTTTACCACTTTAAATTAATAAAAAAACAATGTGTAAGAGGTACATTTAAATTTAAATTGTCTGAAAGAAGAAATACAAATGTAGAATCATTAGAATTTAAAAAAAAATTACAAAATAATTTCCAGCATAGATTTTGGCATGGACATAGCAGTTAACATGTTAAAGAAACAATATTTTGTACAATAACTAGGCAACTTTTTTTTGCCAGTGTTTTTGAAACATACACTATTTGTATGTCGGAACCCGGAACCCTTACCTTACAGTGATGAGCGCCGTGTCAAAACCGTTTTTCAAAACGGCTTAAACCGTTGCGGCCATTGACGAACCGATTTCGATGAAACTTTCACACTATTTTTTATTAGTGCCGGGCTGGTTTAGAGATCATAAAATCGGCATATAACAAATAATGGGCGTTAGTACTTACAAAAAAGAAAGCTTTCAGGAATTTGTGGCGTACATTTTCTCAGAAGTCAGCTGACCAGACTGACCTTCGGCTGCCGGTATGATAGATATTTTTCGAATTCCGATATCGAAGCGCTAACACAAAATAGACCGATTTAGCCAAAAATCTCACAGTTTGTTCTTATTATTCCCGGGATTGTTTAGAGATTGTAGAAAGGCTTGTATTACAACTGAGGGACATCAGGATTTACACAAAATAATACCATTTTTCCTATAATTACACGTTTCCCGCGTCTTTCAAATTTCAATTTTTGAGGCGGTAACGGTCAACAGACGCAAAAACTACTCCATAGTTGCATAAAAACATTCTATAGTTGCAAAAATTATTGAATTTTTCTTCAACTGAAATAGTTGCACAACTACAGATACTTTATAGTTGCAAAAACTACAGAATTTGTTTTGTTAATGTAAAGATAGAAAAATACAAACTTCACCGTTGTATCTTTACTGTAGGCAGCAGTGGTGTAGGTGGGAGAACGACCGCCAAACCATCAGAATAAAAAATGTGCTCCGAGTGAACGGTAAATTAGTGCAAAAAGAATATAAAAACCGATTTTGTTCTACAGGTATTTATACATGTTTATATTCATTCATTATATACAAGAACAATTATAAATTATGTAAAATATGAATAAACATTGTTTTACCGAACTCACTTTAAATTAAATGGTTAGGGATGGTTAGGGTCAATGATGACTGCTAAACATATATGGGATTAGTATAATTATTAACGAAGTAACTCCCCTTGGCCACTTCATAAGTTGATGAGGATCGAATCCTGATTTCACGGCATTTGAAAATATGGTGAAAAGAGGGAGAATTCAATCCATTGGAGGTTGAGATGAGGAGTAGGTCTGAGTGGATTGAATACACGATAGCTCATGTGGTTAGAGCAGTGGCGTATTGAACCAAAGGTCGTGGGGTTCGAATCCCGTTCGTGACACTAACTTTTTCATCTTAACCAAGATCTTAAATAAAAAGTATAATTAATTGAAACAATATTAATGTTCTTGCTAAAATTCAAAGGAGAGGAAGTGCTAGTACAACATATACCGATGATACCAACAGAAGCGCCTTTCCAATTCAAACGATTGCAATTTCAAATTAAACTGGTTTTTGTAGTTATGATAGACAAATCATAAGGTCAATCATTGCTTTTATTTGGATTGGATTTGGAGAATTCATGGTTTTCTCATGGAAAATTATTTCCACAAAGGCTCTGGATCAAGGTATGGTTTTGAAGAAGAAAACAAAATCAGTTGTTACTGTCAAGCTTTCGACCTATTTTAACACCATCATCAGGGCAAAACAATTTTAAATATGTTTACGGATTGACATATTTAAGTTTTTTACAGACACTATCAAATTTCCTTGAAGACCGACTCAACCACTTGTAACAGTCCTTGGCTGGGACTGAGTCTTCAAGGACATTTATGATTGCCTGTAAACATTTTACATATGTCACTCTGTAGACATATTTAAAATTGTTTTGCCCTGATGATCTTCAATTAGGTCAAAAGCTTTACAGTTGCAGCTCAAAACTGTACCTTGATCCAGAGTAGTTCGTGAGTGAAAAAGTGGTTGGTATTTCTAATAGTGAAGACAATTATTTTATTATCTCCCTGGGCAACACTGGGGTTATAAAGCTTGTATATTCATAAATATAAACACTTTTATTTTTAAATTCACTATTTTCGTGGTCCGCTTGACCAATTAATACTTAACAATTAATTAAGGTTTTTAGTTGAGATGAAAAAAATGGCAAAAGGAGGGAAAATTCATAAGGTGGTTGAGATGGGGAGTTGATGTCCGAGTGGATCGAGGTTACGATAGCTCAGGTGGTAGAGCAGCGGCGTATCTAGCCGAAGGTCGTGGGTTCAAATCCCTCTCGTGCCATTAACTTTTTTTCATCTCAACTAAAAACCTTAATTAATTGTTAACTTTTATTTTTGTTAACAATAAAAGTATCTTTATAGAACAGTCTGTAAAGGTCTATTACAACATTTGTTTATCACAAGTACATTCACACTATACATATATGAAAGGTCAGTAAATGACAAGTATTCAAATTGAGCTGAGCAAGGTTTTAGCATTAATTAGCATTCCAAGCAGATCTTCCATTAGGCCTCCCGAGGCTGATCTAGGAGTCTGATTCGATTTGCATCCTGACTAAAATCAGCTGAAAATGCATACTTTTATTTATAAGAGACCTTAATATCATAATTGTAAAATGAATATGAGTATTGATTCAAGTGGATTAAGATAGGAGTAAGTTACAATAGCAATGCAGTCATTAAATCATTGTAAAAAAATCAAATCAAAATTAGTCAGTGAATGCATCCAAAATATCCAAAACTTGGGAAAGCATAACAACCTGATGACATCTTGGGTACTAGGACATAAAGGAATTTTGGGGAATGAAACGGCAGATGAACAGGCAAAGGAAGGATCTGTAAGACCATATATAGGCCCTGAACATTGGGATGACGAAAACAAACAGAGGATCCTATATCTTAGAATGGTTCCAAAAAACAAAACAAAAGGAGAAATGAATAAACTCTAGAGTGGCTAGACATAGTAAGCTTATGTTACAAACCCTCATCAAAACTGGTAAATATTTCTGCATTTAGAGAGGGGTCAGAGTAGTGATACAACAATATATTGGTCACTAGAATCTGAGAAAATGTCTACATAACGTGGGCATATTCAATGATGACCTTATTTGTAGGTTATGTAATGTGGAGGAAGAAACAATCACCCATGTCATCTTTGAATGTGAATCTGGGGTATAAAGAAAACCCAAGTAAAGGAATTGTAGCAACAACAGTCAATGAACTTATATTTCTAAAGAGAAGGATCGAGTCAATTGAACTAAGGGAGCAGGAAAAGTACAATAAGCTAGAATGCTGCAGTGTTCGGTTTGTAATCATCACAGATTACATCCTTTTTCTAATTTTTATCCATTAAGAAAGCTTTTAAGAGAACAATATTTTTATAATTTGAGAACTAATTGAGAGAATAATTGTCAGTCAACACAGATTAACACAGCTAGGATAAGCAGACCAAAATGATCATTAATAACCAAAACAATAAAAAAAAATTTTTGCCTAACTTGTCTGGTCCAAATTCCACTATTCAAAAACTAATACATGTATGTATTGGAAAAGTTTATTTATTTGATATCAGGGGTACATAGGAAGGTCCGAAGGGTGTGGAGGTCCGAAGTCGTCGAATGTAATGTACAATATGCTGCAAGTGCCTTTAATCAGTTCTCTAGGAATATAAGTGACGATAGTTTGTAGAAATCATGCTTTCTTTCATCATTTCTTTTTTTTCATAGGAAGAGTCAGGTACATACTAAACATATATTACAAAAAATAATAAATAAAAAAAAATATATATATATTAAGAAAAAAAAATGACCCTATATGTATTTACAAACTAGGCTTTTTTTAAGAGTAGGAGTAAATTATCTGTCAGCACCGATCAACACAACAATATTTTTAGTTGTATCTTTCTACTTTCATATAAGTATGTGCTGTTTGTTACTTATTAGAACGACTGGACTACCCCAAGCATTATTGAGTACTCTTTGGTAGTGTGACTCAATGTTTGAATTTAATTTATTAGCTTGAATGAAAGGGCTTATCCCCAATTTCCCTGAGGCGGTTGAGAACTCTGGGGTAGTGTGAATGAATGTATACATGTAATTTATTAACGTGACTAAAGGAGTTTATCCCAAATTACCCCGAGGAATATCGAGTATTCTTGGGTAGTGTGAATGTAATTTACTAGCATGAATGAAAAGGCTTATCCCCAATTACCCCGAGGCGTTCGAATACTCTGGGGTAGTGTAAATGGATTGGGGTGTGTGCATGTAAGTTATTAGGGTGAATGGCAATGTTTATCCCCAATTTCCCCGAGGAATATCAAGTACTATGTGCTAATGCTAATGAATGTGTAAATGTATTTTATTGGTTTGAAAGAAGGGGCTTATCCCCAATTATCCCGAGGAATGTCGAGTGTAGTGTGAATGAATGTGTAAATGCAATTTATTAACGTGAGTGAAGGGGCTTACTCCAAATCAACTCGAGGAATATCGGGTACTCTGGGGTAGTGTGAATGAATAGTGGTGTGTGAATTTAATTTATTAGCATGAATGGAGGGGATTATCCCCAATTAACCCGAGATATGTCGAGTACTCTGGGGTAGAGTCAATTGTAAGCAGGCTGTTACGTTTTATCTTGTTTTTATCGTTGTGAATGTAATATCTGTTATTCGTACGTATAATACAAAGAGTCAGGCTATATACGTTGATATAACAAATAAAAATAAAATACACACAAAATATTAAAAGAAAAAGTAAATACAGTCCTTAAAATGTACTCGGATGCGAGAGGGTGAGGGCACAATCTTCAAAAATATGCGTTATTGTACACCGTCCAAAAAAATATCGTGGAGGAGGCGATACCGTTTTGGCCTAATATCCCCGGTCTGAATGATTAACTTTTCTGGCTAGTACTGAGCATGCGGTTCCTCTAGAGCATGTGAAGATTGGCCGAGTCCCAATAACAGCAGATATGACGATTCAGTTTACCGATGACGGTAAACCGTGGTGGCTACACTCTTAAAAACGAATCAGTTTGGAAAAATTGCACTCCACCGGATATGAGAGCGGAATCCCCTTCTTGACTCCACACAACTATCAAGGTAAATAAATATTTGTTTTGGACGTCATGTTGGTAAATAGACAGCGAAACAGGTGCATTTTCCTATTATTGCCGTCCTCAAATCTGTACCCTTTTCAAATGAAAGCGAGATAGTGAAAAAATGTATAAATAGTTTTGCTGGCGAATAGTTTCTACCATATCCGTTATAATATAAATATTTAAAATATTAATAATTTATTAATGGCAGTTATTTTTTGTGTCTTTATGCTTAAATATTATTTCATTTGTGTTTACAAAAAATATTAGTATCGATTTCGGTGCCCTTCAGCATAAAACATTTTGTCTCCAGATTACAGGAGCCGTGATCATGAGAAATATTACACCTTAAAACAAACACACATATACAGAGATACATACACGTCAATACATACACAGACAATAAACACAGGCACACACACACACACACACACACACACACACACACACACACACACACACATATGCATATATAATGTAGATGTCGTATTCGGGGTGTATAATATACTGCCCCCTTCCTTTGAGATCCATTGTACCCCACGTTCTGATTGTATAACACATGGGTGAGTCCTACTTCATCAAAGAATATGATTAGTAGGCCCGGTTTCAGTTGTCCAGTTCTTCTACAGCTGTGTTGTATATCCAAATCACTTCCTCCTGCAGGCAAGTGTGGCACCACAGTTTGTTTGCAGGGGTGTTGGTTTCTCCTCTACTTCATTGCAGAATCTGCACGTACCGTGTTGGATTATACCAATCTTCTTCAAATGTCCGTTTAGTCCGCAGTTTATAAATCCTGTTAGGATTCAAAGTTTTTTCCTGCTTTCTTTGTTGCATTCTGTTGTTCCTTTCCTTCCGAAACTCAGTAGGAGGTTCTTGGTTGGTTTGTGTCCAATGAGTGAATTCCAATGTTTCCAATAGCACAAAAAGGTTCAGGACTAATCAGTGGTGTTGCAGCTCTATTCCTTGCAAGGGCATCACTTCTTCGTTTCCTTCTACTTCTGGGTACCCTGGGACTCAGCAGAGAGTAATTTTATTTTGCATACCTAAATTATTTAATTTAGTTTGCAATTCAGCACCATCTTTGATCAAATAATGTTTGAGCTTAGTGCTCTGATAGCTTCCTGGTTATCTGACATGATGGCTAAGTTCTTTCTATTGTATTCTTTGTTCAAGTTGTTGAGTTGCTTCCCAATTGTTTGGACTTAGGATTGTGGTGTATTTTCCCGTATACACACATAATCACACTCTAAACGCATAATCAAATTTACACACAGATAAAAGATGAATCGACAACTACAGGAAAGGACATGGGATTTACTGGAAATAAAAAATGTGTTAGAACACGCGGTAAACATTTCATTTCATTTCAGTATTTTATGTCAATGATAATTGTATTTTTTCTAATTCAAAAAGTCCTCTTTAGAAAAAAATATTTACGTCTAAAATGTATGTTGTTTTCAAATAGGGTGATGTAAAAAAAGAAAAATATAAATACAGAACCAAATAAAAATGTCCAGAGGCATAAACATAACAAACCACAAGCACACTAGAAACATGAAACCCATAAAAAACTATGTAAGGTGTTTGTTAGGGGCCATGAAAAAGTTTTTTAAAAATAGACAAACAAACACCGACACATAAACCCATACATATACCCGCCAAATATACACAAAATTACTCTACATATTCTTATTAACTGTGAGAACGTGTAGACTGGATTTTTTTCGTGATTTGTATTTGTTTATTTTCTCTCTTAATTCTCGAAGAAATATTGATGTTGTTCCATAAAGCTTGACTCGGTAGAGTGTTTTACGTACAAAATAAACAATTTTTTCAAATTTTAAATCAATCAATTTTTAAATAGAATTGATTTATAAATATGTTTTGATTTGGAAGATTTTTCCATTGTATGAAAAACAATGTACTCATTGCTAAAAAAAAATTAAGTTACATTATAAATACCTAAAATTAAAAACAAAAGTGGAGTTCTAAAAGTGGAGAAAGTCCCGTGACTTAGGTTGGTGGGGGAAGGGCGACAGATTCTCTATGCACCACGCAGAATTGACTTTGAATTCAATTTCCTCCAGCCTGCGTGGAACGTTATCTGGAAATTGCTAACGCGTTTTTCCTCCGAAAAGATATACTTGTAGGCCTAGAATTTGACAACAAAACATCTGGTTTTGAACCCCCTTCGTCTTGGGTTACACTGGAAAAAATTAATAATAATCATTGTCGATATTGGGACTAATCCCCCTACATCACATGATAGAAAGGACAGCACAGAAAACTATAATTAACATTATTAGAGAGAAACCTCTAACAGGAATAAAACTGAAATGGAGAGACAGAAACAAACTGTGGAAAAACCATTCTTCACTCATGGCTCCAAGAGACGACATGANAGGGCGCAGTATACCATACCCTGAAATATTACATCTACATCTACATCTTGTCATTTTATGGTATCAAGTGAGATTAGGCTAGTGCGTAACAAAATTGTTTTCACAGTTTAAGTGTAATTTTGTGTTTTAAAACTAAAATAGAGCAAAATATTGATTTGGTAGTTACAAATCATTTTGGTCTGCCTATCCTCGCTTGGTTCGAAGAGAAATACTTCCATGAAATTATGGCAAAACACATTATCAGAGATACGCTGATGACATCCCGCCATAGTATACGTCAGATAATAACATAAACCACATACTGACAGATCTGAACTCCACAGATCTTAAACAAAAAGAAACAATTCACGGTAGAAATAGAAAACAAAGTAACAGCGACGACTCAAATCACCCCCACCGACACAAAACAGCAGCACTACGTACAGCACATATAGAATAAAAACAATATTGATAAAAGAGAAATATAAAGATGAACTAAAAACAATAAAAACCTCTGCACGCAAAAACAGCTACAACACAAACACGATCACCAAAATAATAAACAAAACGATGCCATATAGATACTAAATGGACCATTTCACATAAATGCAGGAAGAAACGTACAGCCTAACAAATCTATTCAACAAATTAGTATTTAAAACGACTCAAGACCACGAAAAACGGAACCTTAGAGGAGGACCTCAGAGATTCCGCCGCTTAGTTTAATGAAATATGTTTTGGGTTTTCTACATCGAAAATATAAGACAATGGGCCTCCTGAGCCGAGAAAAAACCTAATTTCCATAGTCTTTTTAAAAATAGTTTTCTGCCTTTGTTGTGCGTGTATTTAAAGATTACAAAGTCGATTTTTTAAAAAGTGAGATAAGAAAATGGAGGATTATATTAAGTGAGATCAGAATATAAAAAGTTACAAAATCGAAAATACGCTTCCAGTAAAGGAGGACAAAAAAATTGTTTTTGAAAAATATAATTGTAACTAGTTTTAAGCATCTTTTAAAGCTCTCAAATACGAACTCATTGACAGAAAAACGCTTGGTCACTGATCTAGTCCAAAAATGCTTATGTTTCGTTTGCTATACGTATAGTATCTAAGAGCTTTAAAGGGTACTTAAAGCGAATCTTTTTTTTTTCAAAAATTAATCTTTTCTACTGGTTCTAAAATAACCTTTCTATACTGGAAGGGTATTTTTGTTTTTGAAACCTTTTATATTTCTAATCTCATTTAATACAATCATCCATATAATTTTATTATCCTTCTTATTAAAATAAATCGAATGGTATATAATAACCTTGATATACATACCAATAAGGGCAGAAAATCATTTAAAAAAGATTTTGTTAAGAACCCAAAATGCTCATTGGATCGAACGGTCGAACAAAGGTCCACCATTTTTCGACATAAAACATCAAAAAGAGTTTCATTTCAATCTGTGACTCGGCCATCAGAGGTTCTTGTAAGACAAAGTTTTGATAAAATCAACCAACTTGAGAAAAATGGCATATACTCCAAACATGAGAATGAAGAGACAAATACATCGGACAGACAGGACGAAAAATAAAAGACATATACAAAGAACATCAGGGACAATGACAAGGATGAAGCTACTATAAAACGTACAAAAAGGACGAAAAATTAACAGTGAAAACTCGAAAATAACACATTTACCACTTCAAATCTCATAGACACAAGTTAACAGAGATAGCACCAATACATGCACTCAAACAGTCATGTCCTTATAAAAGAGATTTGACTTAATATAAATCGTACAGACACGAACCTAGCGAGGGTAGACCGACAAAATGATCGGTAACGACCACATTTCAGGTTTTTCCTCCGCAGACAACACGAAGAAATATTCCAAAATAATCTTCGTCTTTTATTTACAATTCTTTTTTTTTCTGCTAAGAGGACCCAGTCGCCCTAGATTATCACTTTCAATGAGGTAATGATAGTTTATATTGGTAGCTGATGAGATTTTAAGAGGTCGGTTAGACTGGGGGTTGGAGTCGGTCTTCTTCCGATGAATATTTACTTGAAGCAGCTTCCACAAAAAGAAATTAGCATAAAATTTAAGATTCAAATCCGGAACGTAGCACAGCTTCTTCTATCTCCGGCTCTTATCAGCACCGCCTTATCGGCTATTCTTATCTGGCGAATTCTTTTCCCCCGGTCAGTTTTTTATTTCTAATTTAGAGGGGGAAAGGTGAATGAAACTAGAATCTGATAATTGGTTATTGACTTTTGTGCATTTTCTATTTCATATGTGTAGTATGATAAATAGCATTCATTTGATGCGGTGTTTAAAATTCAATGTTTTTATTCTGTCTTCTGAACATCCGAGCCATGCTCTGCATACGCCCACTTTCGAATATTAATGGGAAAACTGTTTATTTTGTATGATATCCGCAATAATTGATGTAATAGAACAATCGATATATTTACATAATTTTATTACTTAAAATGTTTTGAAGTACTTCTATTTCTTTATTTAATAATATTTATTTAATAGGGACATAGGATATTGATATAGAGACAAAGGAGGGAATATTAGATATTAGGGAGTATTTTGTTTGAAAATGCCAAAAAATCATTAATAAAACCG